GCGATGCAAAAGGACGTAGTGACGCTTCTCTCACTAAACCTAGACCTAAACTTCATGTATGTTCCACCTAACATCGTTGATTATAAACTGCTGGAATCTAGCATGTCGCTAGCTCTAGTACAACATACCATGAAGCTCTCGTGCTATGATTCACAGCAATCCTCTTCTACACTGAGCCTGTTAATCTCCCATGGTGAGGATGTGGATCTCATATAACATCTTCCTCCTTAGGGAGAAGTGAACATGCTGTGCTCACTTTCAAGTTCACAGCAGCAGTATCATTGACCAAACCCCATGCTCGACCGAACTCTTGGAAAGCTGATATCAACGTGATCGTTCCAGCAGCCGTTTAAGTGGACTGGTACATAGACCCAGAATCCCAAGCAGAAGCTTCATGGAACCAGTTTTAAACAACTTTACAACCAAGTAACTGCACCTTTCATCCTTTGGTCGGTCCTAAAGAGTGGGAAGCATTGCCCCCTTGGATAAACCGAGAGACCTGTCGATTGCTCATACGTAAACACAAATGCTGGAAACTATTTTTGATCAAAGCTTGATTCCACACTGTATTTTTGGTACTAGTATGGAATTTCATCATGGATATCGGTAGCCCAAATCTTGCGGGCTGACTATAGATATCATGTGTGCGTCGGTAGGGGATCGAAACTCGGACCATGTGCATGGTCGGCGAGAGTTCTAACCACTGTGCCGCTGACGCCCTATTTACCACACTTGAGACTTCTGAGACCAGAAATCATACATCTCTAGAAACAGAGCTGTTGCAGCTCAAGAGACAACATAGTACCTGTTGATGTCGTCTTCATAGACTTCAGCAAGCCTCCGATAAAGTTCCTTACAAAAGGCTACTCAAGAAGTTGGAAAATCTTGCATCAAGGGCAGGTTACCACACTGAATTGGGGAATTCCTCATAGATAGGAGGCAGAGCGTAAGGATCAACTGGAAACCCTTCTCGTGGACAGCATTGCGCAGCAGAGTGCCACAAAATACTGTACACGGACATTTGTTATTTTGCATAACACTGCTACTGTACGCTGATGACTTAAAAATCTGAGAGAGCCGAAGGGCGGCAGTGGTACGCTGATGTTGCAAGAGGACCTCAAATTGTCAGAGTGTTTCAGAGAATGGACAGCCCCGGTCAATTTAGCGAAATATGTAACAATGCGCATCGGACAAGCAAGCATCAGCTCGTATGAGCTAGAGGGAATAATAAATAAATGGATTTATTTTCATGATATGGTACATGAGGGACGCCAATTTACAGGCATCATCAAATTGTTACAGAAATAGAAGCATATTATTCAGTCACATTTTACAATCGATAGCAAAATATGTTTAACATGTACGCTGGAGATTATACATACACTTGATTAGTGTTAATCCCAGTAGTATAAAACAGCCTTTTCACTTATGTACAATCATCTCTGTGCATAGCTGGAAAAATCTACTAGATTGTCAATGAGTGCAACACATCAGGAAATACAGAAGTATTGTCTTCGCATTAACAAATAAACCAGTCTTTGGTGGATGGGTTATAAGTTCCTGGGAAAAAAATAAAGCTTGAAGTCAATTTTCACACACAACTTTGTTGTGTGCAGAATTCTTGAAGTATAGTTCATTGATGTGTTATTTTGAAATCAGTGATATGTTTATCTCGTTTGATCCGCAATGTCATTGTTAGGAGTAAAATACATAAGCTTTAGACGCATTAATTAATGGATTTCTACTGCTTGTGGGTATTTACTTCTCGTGAGGAGGGTTTTTGAATTTTAGTTGTTCCGACAGTTGTGAATATTAACTGCTCAGCAACATTACGGATATAAGTTCATCACATTATCTTAGGAAAGATGGGCTGTGGTTGGTGAGGCATATATGGTGCCCGACGAGCGTACATCTGTCCATGTGATGTTGTGGTGAGTTATACCTTTTTCATGTTGTCGGTTTATGTCCATTTTATTCCACTTATTGTGTTGGGTAGAAGTTCAACAAACGAAATTTCTTGTCTGTTTGAGGGTAAGTATCTTAATCGTTAATGTTTTATCTAAAATTATAAATATAGGCAGAAAACAACAGGTGTAGTATTTAAGCTTATATATTAAGTGGACCTATAATTTCGGAGGCTCTCAGATAGGAACTAGAATTACTATTGTTTGCAAACTCTTGTAGTTTGTCGTTAAGCACTCTTTTGAAGGAGGCCAATGTACCTGCTTGACGCACTTCCACTGGCAGTTTATTCCATATCTGTGCATACCTAATCAATCAAAACTTTTGCCTGGTAGCTGTTTTACATTGTTCGATAGCTACTGTACCCTTAGTGTGTCTTAGTTTATAGCCACTGTCACCTGAAAGTCGAATGCCATTAGTAGAGGTAAAAACTAAGTGGTTTAGAAGCTTATAGTAAAGTTTTAAGTTTAGTCTCAGGCGTCTTAGCCATAGTGTTTCTAATCCTAGGGTGTCACATCTAGTGGAGTAGTTCGCAGCATTTTCGGTTCCGAGTAATTTTGACGTGAAGTACCTCTGCACTCGCTCGACTTTCAAGGAATAACACTTGTATCAGCTCAAATTCACTTAGACTTAGGTGTCATAGTTAGCCACGACTTAAAAGCTACAGCACACTGTCGCGCGGTGGCTGCATGTAGTTTCAGGTTCTTATGGACAATTCGCAGAGCCTTCACTAGAATCACCTGTTCACCTCCTCATATACATCTCTGGTGAGGTAAAGACTCGAAAACTGCATGCAGGCCGTCATTTCTCGTCTGAAAGGGGACTCACATATTCTAGAAAGGGTTCAAGGGAAGGCGATAAGTATGGTTCACGGCATCACTAACTTATCATACGAGGAAAGACTAGACAGTTAAAATCTTTCTGTCACACTGTAGGCAGAGAGGAGATTTGATCTCAATGTTTAAAATTTCAAATAATGACTATGGACCTGAACTGTTCTCTCTTTTCCTTCCCACCAGGTCGGGACACCTTAGAGGACATAGCAGGAGAGTTCAAAAGCCAAGGAGAAATCACATTGCTGTTGAATTCTCTTACCTAGTCACAAACTCCTTAGACCGACTCCCATAAGAAGTGGTGTCTGCAACCTCAACTGACTCATTCCAGAAGGGTTTGGATAAGCGCAAATTATGCTAGAAAAGGATCAACATAGGCTCTGAGGCTTCTATTCTCAACCAAGAAATCTGAAATCTGAATCTGAAAGCTTAATAAAATACGTGTGGAACTTAGGTTCTCTCACATAGTGGTCAACAACTGGGACTTCTTACTTGATTCAGTAGTAACAGGTCCATCGTTGGACGTTTTCTAAAAGAAATTAGATCTCTGCAGAGATACATATCTCAGGATTGACATAGGCAACAATTGCTTCTTATTCTTGTAATTTGAATCTCAATCTAGTGTCATATACCTGGTCCCACTGACTTAGCGTTCCGAAGTCATTGGTGCATTCGTACCCTTTTTTTACCTAATGTATAATTTTATCTGAAGCTTAAACGGAATTCGGAAATAAGCAGTGTTTGTCTTATGAGAATATATTGTGACGAAGATAGATTGCGTTTTAATTCACCAAATGGCGCTCCAACGGCCTTGGATAACCTTAACAGACCTTGAAATAGGCCAACCACGTTGGCGATTGTGTAAGACAGCTCGGATTGAGTATTTCTTTTCAATTCATTGTTACAGTACTAAAATACTAGTCATACATAAGGAGAGAGAATAGCATGCTTTAAAATGTGAAAATGAACCTCATTATTCCCCAGTCGCGACAAAATATTAAAAAATGGGTGAATAATGATCACCCATGCTGAGCATGATCTTTTGCAAGAAAATTAGCAAGTTTGGGTTAGACGACAAGGCTCTTACATTTTGACCGCTACTGTCCAAAGTTTAGTCTAAACTGCATCACTCTGACCATTATTCAACCAATATTTTAGCATTCCTGCTCCTCGTCCTTAATCTAGGTTAACCAGCTGGTTAAATTTAAACATTATTTACCATTCCTTGCCCAATCATTTATAGTGATTTCTATGGTTTGTTGTACAAGTCAAATCAAATCCATGTACTGCAGTAGATCATCTACTTTTGAAGGTGCTAAACCTTGCAAGTTTTAAAGAAAAAAGTTTACCGGTGAACATTAATGTCTAAGGTGTAGTCGTACTTTTGAAAATATCTTAAGCCATTCGAATTCTACTGAATTTTAAACTTTCATACATTGAATCATATCCATGAATTTATAAGCAGTGAACAGTCAAGTGAATGTAATTAGTGCTAGAAATTCTTTTTGAATAGTAAGTTATTTGGAGGTGTTACTCGCCTTAGGTGTTTGCATATCTAGGCACTCCTCACTTTTGTTATTTCTTTTGTTATCAGCATAACCTCTTTGTCTCTTTAAGGAATAACAAGCCCATCAATACTCTTTTTAATCTTATTACTCTCCGCATATTACTGGAGAAATAAGAAATTGCCTCCGACTCCCTGGTCTTAGCTATATGCTTAGTTCATATTTTAAGGCATCATACGTTTCAAACTTGCAAGATGATTTCGAATTACTTACAAGCTCTACTGTTATATTTGACGTCAGCATTAGCAAAATTCCAAAGAATAGCCGTAAAACAAGTCTGAAGCGCGTCTATTTTACCTGCATTTTCTAACTTGTTGAGTGGGTTCTGTTCACAGTATTATACTAACGGAGATAGTAAGAATGATGCTTATCATCTCCAGCATAAAGTAACTTAGTCATTGAACTGATTCTCCATCAGAAGGATTATAGATGTATATTGTATTGCTGATACCCTTCACCCCAAAGTGGTGACGTTCTCATTACAGCAAACCTCATATGAGAGATGACTAATTTTTTATATTTTCAAATAGGTGTTTTATACTTTTTGTTACCTGCTAATTTTCACTATCAATTATTTAGTTTTAGATTTCAACACACACACATAGTTCTGTATGCGTCGTGAGCATATTCACACTGTCTAATGGATATTGAAGATATCACTACTGAACATGAAAGACCAGAAAATACCACAGGTGTATTAGTCAAAGCAAGATTTAAAAATAAAAAACAACCTATGTATGAAGATTTATGTTTAAGCAGTAGTGTGCCTGGTAAGCGCTTTTTGTGTATGCCTAGCGAAAATAGGTAGTATTTTTGATGTTTATGACGCTGATATTGTCTTTCTATGTGCAATGTTAAATACTGTCGCTTGACTTACTTGAATGATTCTAATTTTCTTTTATATTGGTTAGTCTTACACACATTTACTATCCGACATAAAATGTGAATATTATTGAGGTTAGGCTTGTAGGTGTTTGGTACTCAGGGCAAGTCAATCGACGAGCCTGTGAAAGCACATCGATTTAGTTGGCTAGGACACGTGCCAAGCATGTCAAGCTATCACCTTCCTCTCCGAGTAATGCCAGCTTATACTGGATTAGTATCCAAAAGAGTAAAGGATGGTGAAGTTAAACTATCATAGCCAAAGTCACAGTGACCATGAACAACCAATCAGAATTCAGATACGAAAAAGTTTCATAATCGCTAAAAATTGCATTAAAAATATTGCAAACGATATTACACTGAATAACTGTCGCTTAAGCGTTTTAAGTGTTTCTCAGTCACTACAAAGACAACCTATAGAGAAATCATACCATGCGACATAGATGTTTATTCATCCAGATGATTGTAGATCATGGTATTTTTTCAGATCCACTGATATTCCTGACATTGTCCTTTAAATTTAATTCAATTTTAGATTTTCCCGTCGATTGATTGTACCGAAGCGCTTGGTCTCAGGTTGACATGGCTTCTTGTGCAGATGCTTCGACGATGTCTGGGCATTTAATTAGAATTTAATTGGTGGATGGTGACTAGCAGTGGAATCCAGGATAAAGCGTATTTCGTCCTTTTTGGGACTCGTTGGTGGCTGGATGTACCTGCATTTCCCAGCGAGTGATGATGTTCCCACCGAGGCTTTGAACCCAGTGCCCATAGTTTCAAACGCCAAAACATTATCCACTAGACCACTTGGGCCACGAGAGCCACCACCTCTTGTGCAACGGGTCATATTAATTATTTAATTCAATTTTAGATTTTCCGCCAATTGATTGGACTGAAGTGCTCGGTCTTCTTTAAACTACCCCTTACTCTGACCGTGATCCTAACTGTATTCCTATTTCTAACTTTAAACCTAGACGCTTACGTTAGTCTTCGTCTTGTAGCCAGTCACCACCACTGGCGAGCATCAGATTACTTTTTCAAGAATTAGTATGTTATTGATATTATTATCATTATTTTTTCGTTCTTCAAAATTTTATCTACAGAGAAATATCGTGTTTTTGTACAAACATGGGGATGTGCACACAATACTAGTGATAGTGAATACATGACTGGATTACTAGCTAAGTATGGTTATCAAGTAACACTAGGCGGGTCACAAAATACCCATGGTAGCTGTGAATCTGATAATCTTCCCGACTGTGATAATCATAATCCTAATACTTGTGAATGTCAAAGCGCCGATGACCAATGCTGTTCACAAGACAATAATAATAATCATAATAATAATAGAGAAGACAAAACCTGGCAATACAGATCAAAATGCTAAAATGGAAGCACATATTTGGGTGTTGAACAGTTGTACAGTGAAAGGTCCAGCAGAAGATCACTTTCGTAATGCGGTTCTAGAAGGTGTAAAACTTGGTAAATGTGTAGTGGCAGCTGGTTGTGTACCGCAGAGTCGACCGGGTGCTGATTATTTAAAGGTTAGTTTCATTAATTAATTATGCATAAACTAATTTCGTGTGTGTGTATGTTTGTGTGCGTTTAATTTGCTTTGTAGTTTTAAACCCTTCTGTGGTAAAGGATAGCGTAAAGGATAGCACCCTAATTCCTGCTTTATTGAGAATCCTACATGTGGTCTCAGAAGTCCCCTCCTCATATGTATAACAGTAGATGACTTATATTCTCTCTTATTTATGTTATCATTACTCGTTTCACAATTATTTTTATTTTGCATTTGGCCTTTTTCGATCTTCCTAATAAATTTTATAGGATAGTTGGTTACTTAACACCAACGCTTCTTCATTTTGTTTTATTTCATCATTTAGGTCTTTTCTTGTGCTATTTAGTGCTATGGTTCGGTTTGTTAGACGCTTAACTAAACCTACCTTCACAGACAGATAACAGATGAGATGAATTAAAGTCTAAATATGCAATATTAGAATGCGTTGGGTTTTTATAAACTCTAGTGTGTAGTCTACCTTCTTCTTTCGTTCAAGCACATCACAACATGACAACAACAATATTACTCTGTAACAATGTGTGATTTATCAAAATAAAATCTTATCCATAATGGAGTTATACTCTACCACCACAGTGCCCAAGTTTTATACTTATATCAATAACATCACTGATTACTTCGACCCTAAATAAGTGAACCAGCCTTCCAGTGTTTGCACCACTTCTATCCGCTGGGTTAACAAGCACTACTACTACCTGATGTTTGATTGGCATACGATTGACTACTCATCTAAATCATTCAGTAGTATATAGCTTTATTATTTAAACGCATAAAAAACTTGGTACAATATGGCACCAAGAAAGATGCGCCACACAATAATAATAAAACAACATAGATCAAAAAAAGGAAGGAAGGAAAAGAAAAAAAATATATAAGTAGAGAACGGATAAAGAACTTCATCTGGAAGGAAAACAGTCATGCTTAACAAGTTCAAACAGTGTTCGTTAGCTATCATCGGGAAGGGAAGAAAGAAGGAAATCGCAACACATTCGCCACTGATTACGATTCTTGGCCATATCCGATAACGTTTCGAGCCATCGATTTGAGCTATCTCTCGGACCCCAACCAGGGAGTCGTGACACACCAACCGATGCTAATCTAGCACAAAAATCCTTCATCCCACGACGCCACGTCATGGACTGACCACCTCTCCGCCTTTTCCATCCCGTCCCAGGGCTAGCGAACAGAGACCTGTACGGAAGCCTCTGGGGTGACATTCGGAGCACATGTCCAAGCCACCGGAGCCGGTGTTTCCAGATGACGACATTCAATGAATGGTGATCTCCACTTTGTTCAAACACACGCCGCCGAACCTCAGAATTACTCACGCGATGATGCCATCGAACGCAAGCAATCCTGCGGAGACAGCGGTGATCGAACACGCAGAGTCGCCGCACATCCTCAGCTCGGAGAGGCCAGGTTTCACAGGCGTAGAGCAGGACAGCTCGCACCGAAGCATTGTATACCCGACCTTTGACAGCCAGGCTAACGTCGCGACGGCGCCAGAGGTGGCTCAAGTTGATGTATGCCACCCTAGCCTTCATTATACGGTTGGAAATCTCATCCGTCACCCCTCCGCCAGCACTCACACAACTACCCAGGTACACAAACTTATCAACAACTTCAAGCGGTTCACCCGCAAGAGTGAGTGCAGGTACAGGCTCCTGCCAATCTTGTAACAGTACTTTGCACTTAGACGGCGCAAAGCACATACCATACTTACAGACACTGATCGCCAACTGATTAAGTGCGATTTGGGCAGCCTGCATGCTATCGCACAGTAAGACGATATCGTCTGCATACTCGAGGTCGAAAAGTCTATCTCCAGGTAGCAGATCTACACCACCTTCACGCACATCCTTCAGAGCTGACTCCAGAATGTCATCGATGGCAAAGTTAAAGAGAAATGGAGAGATTGGGCAACCCTGTCTAACCCCACTGTTGGTTGGGAACAGTGGTGATAGTTGGTTGTATGCCCTCACTCTACCTGAGGTGTTTCTGTATAGGGCTTTCAGGATGTTAACAAATTTCTCAGGTACACCTCTCTCTAACAGACAGTTCCAGAGCACAGTTCTGTCCAACGAATCGAAGGCAGCCCTAATATCAAGAAACACAACGATCGTTGGCCTGCAATACGTGTGGCGGTGTTCCAACAACTGACGAAGGGTGAACACATGATCAATGCATCCACGACCTGAACGAAACCCAGCCTGCTCTTCGCGAATCAATCCTTCACGTATTTTGCACAGTCTGCGAAGCAAGACAGCAGCCAATATTTTAGACGCGACTGGTAACAGACTGATACCCCTATGATTGTCACACGAATTACGTCGACCCTTTTTAAAGATGGGGACGATAATGGCTTCGTTCCACATTGATGGTACACTCTCTGTCTCCCACACCTTCCTGAACAACCCAGTTAGAGCCATTGTGAGAGTCTCGCCACCATCTTTAAAAAGAGCCGGGGGTAATTTGTCTGGGCCGGGCGCCTTATGGCGTTTCAGAACTTGGAGTTCCTTACGGACCTCCGCTTCGGTGGGTGGGTCGGTACTAACCGACCAAGGAGCACTCGGGCTAATGATAGTAGACACTGAAGCTGGTGGCCAGCTGAACTGCTTCCCGAAGTGCTCTGCCCAGCGTTCCAGGCGTCTTTTCAGGCTGGTAATTGGAGTGCCATCTGCCTCACAGACCGTCTCGCTGACACCTTGTTTCTTGCTGCCGGTGGCTCGTATGAGTTGGAACAGCTTCCGACTGTTGCCAGATGCAGCAGCTGACTCCATCTCACACGCACGTTCTGACCACCAGGCTTCGCGGTCCTTACGTAAACACTGTCTAATCTTGCGCGTGAGCGCCTTTCGCTGATTGTTGTATTCGCTGCCAGCCGGAATGGACCGGCGTTCATCCATGAGTTGCAAGGAACTCGCAGAAACCCAGTGGTTGTTAGCGGAGCATTCTTTCAAGCCGCAAGCGGCTACACTCGCCTTTTGCATGGCACCTTGCACATGAAGCCAATGTTCATCTATACTACTTGGGGGGTTGCTGGCAAGCATTGTTTTTAACTCATTCTGATATTTCAAAGAAGTAGCAGGTGCTACTAGTTTGCTCACATCAACGCTTAGACGACGGCTTTTACGAACCCCACCAAATCGCAAGACGAACTTGGCACACACTAACGCATGATCGGAGTCCAGGCATGTGCTCCAGAAGGAGCGACAGTCTTGTATGCATCCTCGCCACCGGAAACTGACCGCGATATGATCAATCTGAGTCCAAGCTTGCTTCGCAGAGGGAGGACGCCAGGTAGCGCTACGGCGATGGCTGTGCCGGAAGTTGGTGCTAGCTAGAAATAGGTTGTGATCCGCGCAAAGCTGCAGAAGACGGTCCCCATTATCTGACCTGCGACCATGTAGTCCCCACTGACCACCTAGACGATTCTCCTCTGAGCTTAGACGCCCCACCTGTGCATTCAAGTCCCCAGCCAGCACTACGATATCCCTCCGACCCGCCTGTTTCAAGAGATCGCTCAGTTGGTAGTAAAACTCATCCTTCATTGCATCCGGGCTGCAATCCGTCGGTGCATAGGCAGAGACAACAAATAGACACCGCCTATCTGGCCTACTACTCTTTACTTTCGTATAACCTTCCAGCCTCACAGCACATAAACGACTGTTAATGGGAATCCAGTCGAGCAGTGCAGCTTCGGCTCTAGCGCTCAGTGCGACACCGACACCAGCTACGCCGGATGCCGACGCCACAGGGTCCCCGGATAAGCGCAGGTGGTACATACTACTAGAACTTCCAGATGGAGAGGATAGTCGAAGCACTTCACTGGGATCTTGAATGCGGGTCTCCGAAATGCAGCAGACATCGATAGCGAGGCTTTCCAAAGTTCTTGCCAACCCTGCCTGTTGTCCGATTTGCATCAGCGTCCGAACATTGTAGGTAGCCAGCTTGAACGCAGCACGCGGTTTCAGGATATCCGTGTTAGATGTCACATTGGGAACAACCATTTTGAGGACTACTCACTAACATCTCGAAACGACACGGATAGGCTGGGAATCTCGACAAAGGCGAAAGGCTGTCGAAGGTTAAGAAGCCAAGGTTAGAAAAGGTACAATACAGGAAACTATGTATAAAAATAAAAGTAGGGTAGGAAGGAAATAAGTTCCTTGAGGGATCAATATTGCTTGGAATCATTTTCTAGCGCGCGTTGAGTTTCAATGGGAGTTCGTTGCTTTAATTCATTCATTGTGTGCGGGCTGAGATACTGCCCGGGCGCCCAGACCGAAGCAGGTGGTTTTATTAAGGGACCACCCCCGAGCCTTTGACTTGGAGTCTAATCCGCAAGGCAGCGGAGCAGCGTCAGGAGCTGCATTCCCATGGTTGCCGGTGACCCATGTGGGTTCATACGCCATTTGATCCGATTGGAAACTGGAGCCCATGTACCCCATGGTAACTGCTTTTAGTTTAACCGCTATCCAGAAAACCTTCCTGACATGGTAGGACCTGTGGAGACAGAGTCCCAGTCAGTTCAGCTTGTTGGGTCATTGCGGTATTCAAGCCCGACCACCACGACAAGGTAGCAGTTATCGGCCTGGTATATACTTAATTAATATTTCAATGTAATGTTGTGCATCTATTTATTGTTTGTTCTGTCATATTAAAACAAAGGATTATGCATCTCTCTCTCTGCTATTTATATTTAGGGTGTAAGTGTAATCGGTGTACGTCAAATTGATCGAATAGTTGAAGTTGTTGAAGAAACACTCCAAGGTTAGTGTAGTGTATCCATCGTTATCCTAATGCTTATTTAATTCTAGAGTTTTGGTATATTTAAGATTTCCTCCTAAAAATTCTTCTTGTTATTATTTAATATTATTGTTCCCTTGGGTTCTTGGTGGAGCATAGGGCTTCAACTGCACATCTGCACTTCCTTCTCTATTCCGCTGTACTTTTCACCTGCATCCATGTTAATCCATATTGTTTCAACTCCTCTTCACACGATCTCCTTCATGTCACCCTTACACTGACGACCCACTCGCCGCTTCCCATTCTGTTGGGTTCCACTCGAGCAATGGTCTGACGCGCACACGATGTCACCCAGCGACCCGGCCTCCTCAGCGAGTAGTGTCCAATCCACTCTTCTGTCCACTTTATCCTGCATATTTGTTGGTTGACGATTGGTACTTGTCTTGTTTGTTCCTTCCCATAGTTTCTTGTTGGTGATTCTTTCTTCCTTATAGATAGTAGATAATTATTAATATGTCGGTCAGTGCTTCTATGTGTTGTGGTTCAGAGACTTGGCGTGCGCGCGTGCGAGCACGCGCATCACCGAAAGCATTTCCAACAGGCTATTACGGCGTTTTGTCAACAGCTGCCCTCTTCACTCGATACTGAAGATGAAATGGTCTGTCACGCGGGATGACTGGTGATGAACCACTGGACATGAACCTACTGCTTAGCAAATATGCAGAAGTAATTGGTGATGGATTGTGGTAAAACACTGAGAGAGACCCCAATGAGTGACATCAAACGCCGGTCAGGCGGGTTTAGTGGAACCGGAACGGGAAGCTAACGACAAATCGACTGTCGCTTCGAAGGTGACACAGAGAGGAGATCGTATGAGGAGGAGGAAGAGGAAGAAATAAAAGCCTATAGGTTACGTACGATGTAGCCAGATAACGAGGAGAACGTGGAGATATGGAGATGTACTGGTAAAGCCATATGTTCCATTTGGTGATACCCAAGGGAATAATACTGATAATAATACTGGCATTTGAGTTCATCCTTACTTCAGCGCAACAACGCCAACAAAACATTTAATTGGTCAGTTGAATAAGATTCCCATTATTGACAAATACACAGAAGACTAGCTGAGAAGGCAAAGATTTATTGCTATTTTCATAGTGATCTTGCGTAAACAGTTTAAGATATAAAAAGTTATGTTTTGATTGGATAGGATATGTCAGTAGTGGTCCTGTAACGTGACCCTTAATCTACATTATGGTCATATGTGCCTTGTCTACAGATAGTGTTTAGAAACATTGATCCATAATCCGTCTCCTCCTGACCTAACAGTATGGCATTCATTGGTTTGAATACTTCGCTTTCAGTTGATAGGTGCTTGGTTTGAATCTCGCTCCAGCTATGTCGATCCGTTGATTTTCAGATATCATCCAGAATATCAACATTAGTTTACATCAGTGAATACAGTCAGTTGTCTGGACACGGTTATGATGGAATCCTAAGCGTTGCTAACAATCATCAACTGGTAAAAACTAAATCTCATTGGCGTTTCATCATTTTGTGAATTCTCCTTCAATCCGACTGGAATAAATTCAAGACTACACTACATTAAAAACTTTTGTATTTCCAATGAATAAAAAACAAAACTGTATTATTGTGTTTTTACTGACGTTTCGCTATTTAATGCTGCTGCTAGTAGCTTTATCAAAGTAGTATTATTAAACCAGAATTTACAAAATCTATTCAGCATGTGATATCCGTGTAGCCGAAATTTTATCCAGCCGACCATTGATATCGGGTGTGTGTCGGCCAGGGATCGAACCGTGGACCATGTGCATGGTCGGCGAGCGTCCTAACCAATATGCCACCAACGTACAGTAAATTATAGCATGAATCATAACTTTAAGGCTAACAACAATATGTGGTGGTTGTCCGTCCTAACACCTCCCCTGTTTTATTTTTAGTTCTTGATTGGGCGACCACAGAAAGTTACTTTGTAGGTGTCTGTGTACTCACTCTCTGTCTATGTGATAGTAATCTTCTGAAGTTAATGCATCCAGGATGTTCACATCATTCTATTGCATGTTATGGACAATTTTTGTTTTCCCAAACTATATACAATTTTTGTGTTTTTTTTCAATTTTTTCAGGTAATGTAGTACGTTTTCTGGATAAAAAATGGACCCCATCATCATCTGAGTCGAAAGAATCAACAAATACTTCTGCTGCTGCTGGTGCTGCCTTAGATTTGCCCAAGATACGACGTAATCCTCTGATTGAAATCCTCCCCATCAGTACTGGCTGTTTAAATTCATGCACCTATTGTAAAACAAAACAAGCCCGTGGTGTGTTAGCCAGTTATCCAATTGAACAATTGTTGGATCGTGTTAGACAAGCATTTTCAGGTAGGTAGGTAGGTCTTTGTGTGCCTGTGTGTGTGTGTATGTGTTTAACACTTCATCTTTTTCTGCTCGTAAACATTAACACGTGAAAAGAAAACCTAGTAGGTATTATCTAATTAAGAATAACCATTTGCGTCAGTGGTTCACCCGACTAATAGCTACTATCTTTACGTGGTGGTCAGGCTTCTATATTGCAATGATCCAACAAGTGAAATACCACTGGTTGGGACTAATGTTCCTGCAGGTCCTACTGTAAAAACAGAAGACAAGAGTCAGGCAACAGATCGTTTATTATGGAAATCAACACATATTTATAGATTTTCATGTACATTACATTATAGATTATTGATAGCAGAAGAACACAGTCTTCTGATTGGTTGTTTCTGACTGAAAGTTAACCTTGGATCTCTTTGTGCCTGTTTCCTGAATATCAGATCATCTATATGCTAACTGTATCTGCCTACGCAAATCTGCTGTGGTTGAATGCTGAAACAGTCTTTGTTCATATTTTTTCATGACCAATATTGGGGACATAAACATTGACGTAAATTACTGTCTACTAATTTGGCTAGCAACCAGTTGTCACCACACTCGTCTCCCCGTCAAAGACTTGCGACTGAAGTTGGTCTGGTCTTCTCAGTTTTAGCGGCTTTGTTCGTTTGTCTTGCTTTCTAGAATCTCAGCGCTCATTGGTATTCACCTGTTTCTCTTTGTTTACCATTGTGATTGTGTCTGCATGACCCCATCCCAAAGTGACCATATGTGGTCCTTCCTACTTTGGAAACTGTTTGCCTGACCCTGTCGCACGTTCGTCGGTATTTTGTCTCACACTTTCATATGCTGCTTTCTTCCGAACTCCCAGCAATGTCCCAAGTAGTAGCCTCATCGCTGACAGATCTTGAACGCCACTCAACTGTGCAGAAGCCTCGAAGTCCTGCTGGAAGATCCATATGTCTCCATCAAAAACTGCAGGGTATAGGCTTTCCATTTGTCAGTAGGCAGCGACACCAAATGTAACAACAGAAGACAAGGGCCAGTCAACAGATTCTCTATTAAGGAAATCAACACATATTTATATATTTTCATGTACATTATTATAGATTATTATTAGCAGGAAAGCAGTCTTCTGATTGGTGGTCTCTCACTGAAAGTTAACCTTGAATCTCTTTGTGGCTGTTTCTTGAATGTCAGATCATCTATATGCTAACTGTATCCACCTACGCAGAGCCTTTGTTCTTATTTTTCTCACGACCAATAATGGGGACATAAACATTGACCCAAATTAATGTCTATCAATTTGGCTAGCAGTCAGCTGTCACTACAATACCATGCCAGAAACGTTGTTTGGATAGCTGTTAGACTGAAAGCAGTTATCATCACGTAGTGTAAACCGCTCACACTATACTAGAGAGGGATGGTGAAATCGTTCTGTTGGAGAATGGGAATGTAACACAATAGTAAGATGTCTCCCTCAGATAGCCAGCAGGCCAGCTATCCCACCTTTCCGTTCTGGAGAGAAGGATGAGGTTTAGAAAAGGTTGACTCCGGCTGCTGTCCTTAGCCGGTGGTAAGATCTTAATATGGACGCAATTCCAAGACCCACTTCAAACGGTTCGTGTCTGTCATCAGCCTCAACCAGCTGTCTTTTTGGCTATGGAGTCACGCAAAACCAGTGCTCTTTCTGTTTCAAGAAACCAGCTTGCATGATGTCGGCAGCTGGGAAGTAATAATAACCTGCACGCTTCTCTATAAGCATACAATCTCCCTCCTTCACCTCTATGGCTTTCATCATCTTGCTTTTATCCTACTGTTAATGCTATCTCACAGCCAAGTCTTTTACCTTCTCTCGGTGGTTCGGTTGTAGAATGTTTGTCAACCAGACACATGGTCTAGGTTCTGACTTGCGACCGACGCACTCGTGAGTTTCGCTTAGCTTGTGGTAGTTAGTCTGGTAAAGGAAAGGGTTGGGTGTGTGTGACCAGCAATCCTACGCCATAAAACAAACAGCACCTTCGCCACTGAAATTTCACAGCTGCTCAAGCTTCAATCTGTATGTTCCAAATGAAACGCTAAGGAATGAAGAGAAGATGAATGTAACTGCTCCGCTACAGTCGAATCAGAGTCGCCGAAAAATCACCTGCGATTACTGTTTGACTTCTTTGAAAACAATATATATGACTATAGTTTGTCTAATTGAGTATCAGTGTTTTAAAAGCATTAGTCTTTTCTTCTATATTACAACGACAAAACTGATATTTAGGATTAAACCTATACAAACAAATCAGTGTAAATCTGTTGATGAGGCATATGTAAGTTCCCATTCGACGTAATCCTAAGCCTCAATAAGACGGTGAAGGTTGGGTGTGAGGCTAGCAACCCCACCTCTTAAAAATAAAACCACTGCTACCGAAAAATAAAAGGGCAAAGTTAAACTTTACGCACCACTGGCTACCAATCAGCGAACGACATCGTACGCACCAATCACGTGAAGGAGGCATTTCTGTGTATGGAATACGTACATATATTTATGAAATAATGCATAAAAGCTGTATAAAAGTGTTACAGAGGATATGACTTTCTCTCACATGTGGTTAAAATAACTCGGTTTTAGGTTGGAGTATTAACAGAGTATAATTCCATTGTGGGTTAAATTTATTTTGATTAAGTCCCCCAGTGTGTTATATAGTAATATTACCTGACCAATAAATTGTGCTCGAAACTTGGTCATCAGTAAATATTACTGTATAAAAAAATACTGTGAAACTTTACCAAAATAAATTTTACCCACAATGGATTTATACTCTGCCACCACAGTGCATAAGTTCTATTCTTATATCATCAACAGAGTAATTTAACCACATTGTATGCATGTAATTATTTAGGTCTTCTAACCCTAACAATAACCCTAACGTGAAAATATCCCTAAACTAACTGTAATCTAACTCGAACCAACCCTAATATCGCCTTTATTAATTTAACCTAACTCTAATATGTCTTTGGTTTAAAGCGTAACTTAATCTTTCCCGAACCTAAGGTGAAACTTGCTAGAAATCCCATTTAATAGCATAACACTTCGGTGGGGATATTTTATTGATGATGACTACATTACTTGCTAGGTTTCACTAACTTCCTCAGTGAGCGTTTCACGGTCATTGGCGTGATCACACTCCATTGGTAGTTAGTGGTGCTTAAAGTTTAACTTCATCTCAATAAAACCTCAAGCTTGAAGCCGTATGTTCCGCTTGGAACATAGAGGAATAAAATAAGAAAAAAAATCATAAGAGCTGAATGTAATTGTGTCCTCAGTTAGTGATGATGTTCCCATTGAGGCCTGAACTCCTCAATACTCGCCGTCTCAAACGTCAAAGTATTATCTTCTAAGTCACTGGACTGGTAGTTCTGCACTGGATTCGAGTCGAAGTAGAAATACTGTTATTCACTGAGGATACTGCAGTTACATCCAGTTAACGAGTATCAAATAGGAAGAAATTCACATCTTAGATTCTGTTATTAGCCAGTACCCACCGAATAACACCTTGTTAACCTTTCCTCGAGTGTATCGTGGTGGGTATCTCCGCCTGTTACTTGGAGGGTCCGGGTTTGATTCCCGGGTGAAGGAGCTGGGTTTTATGTCAGTGGCACAGCGGTAGAATGCTCACTAACCGCGCTACAGGTGGTTCGGGGTTCGATCCCCGGCCACTGACGCACTCCTAGACCTCGCTAAGCCACTAATAAGACTGATAAAGAGGGAAGGTTGGGCATGAGGTGGCTAGCAACCCCATCCGGTAAAAATAAATACCACTGCTAACGAAACTTCAAAGTTCTAGCTTGAATGTGCCTTATGTTCCACTGGGAACATAAGGTAATAAAATAACCCTTACGGCATCTTTGAAGTGTTCGCGCTAACAGCTGACATATCGATAGGGACTGGGTATTTTTCATTCAATATAATTAATTAACAGGAAATTCGAAATCCTAATTTTTAATAAACAACTTTATTTAGTATTTTAATTTTTTTAATTTGTAGAAGGTGTCAAAGAATTATGGCTTACATCAGAAGATCTCGGTGCCTATGGACGTGATTTAGACCGGGCGAATTCATCATTGATTTGTCCAACACTTTCTGCGAAATGGCCTCATTTCATTACATTGGCTGATCTGTTGGCCGTATTATCCCACTGATACCAGCTGGTTGTATGCTAAGGCTGGGTATGACAAATCCACCGTATATCTTAGATCAATTGGTTGAAATTGCTGAGGTTCTGTCACATCCTAGAGTGTATTCATTTATTCATATTCCTGTTCAGTCCGGTAAGTTTGTTTTTTAATACACATATTCCTCTTGTAATATTATTGTTATTCTATAAGGTTTCAGGTGGAACATATGGCTTCAGCAGCAAATCGCCATTTTACCCAGCTGTCTACAGTCCTCCGGTTTCGTCTTCACACGATCTGCTCTATATCACAATCAAAATGACTTCTACCTGGTTGTTTCCTAGTGTAGTTCCACTCAGTGGATTCCTTAGCGTAGGTTCAGATCACTTCCATTTCCTTCGGCGTATTCACCGGTTGGTTCGTTTCCCGCCAAAGTTCTCCGTTGCTTATCCATTCTGACCGGCAGATCATCTAAGATCTTCAGTATCTAACGGAAGCAGCTGTTGGAAATGCTTTACTTGACGCCCACTGCGAATCTCTGAAATATATTAGAAGCACTTAAGACTAACTTGACATATGTGTTGAAAATCACAATCCTGTTCTCTATGCTGACTGAGTGCAGTATTATTTCCACTGATTGATTCTACCTTTGTTATCCCCATATGTGGAGCCCGAATAAGTTAAAAAAGTAACTTCCATCAAATTTCTTCAGTTGATGGTGAATGGTGCTCGTTGTTTTCATCCGTCTTCTGCATGTCCACTTAAACTGCCCCCGCTGCGTTGTAATGCGGCCTATATATATATATGAAGTCATTGTTGTTGTTGTTGTTCATTGCTTGCATCCCGAGTGGAACATTCCGCGTCAACAGGCATGTTTTCAGCGCCACCAATTCTGGCTGGCAACACGACTGACTAGCCATAAGGTTTCTTTTCCTCCTATTCACTTGTTACGTAACAACGAGAACACATTCTTGGACAGAAAGAATTTAACAAAGAATATTTTCTTACAACAATTAGTTGCCTTTATGAATTTAGACAAAGTAATAAGAAGACGTAATTTGTCTGAATCTTGTAATGTACAGAAGAGCCTTAGTGAGCGAGGTGTCTCTTCAGTAGAATCCAACGACTATGCAATGAAAACACACTTGATGATGAGAAAGAAAGAAAGCTGACACAAACTCGGGTTGATAATAATCATCCAGACAAGTTCATCAGGAGATACGAAGAAGTCAGAACACCAAGACCCATTCTCCAACTCACCCCTAAGAAAGACGTATACATCAAGCTAGCTACCCTATATGGGGCATCATAGCAGCTTGATAACTAAACAAAGATTGAACACTGCTATGGTTAAAAAGACATTTTATGCGGCTAATATCATAATAATTGAGAATGTGAAGCCAATATATCCATCTAAGCCCTTTGAACATGCGAGAAATGATGTCACATCCCACTACATTTACCAATTTGAATGTGTTTGTGGACACATACATACATAGGGAGGACTCATCGATCTCTGCAAGTAAGGGTCGGCTTCAGAGCATATTCCTAAATGGCTCCAGAAGCTAATAGGATCTCAAGAACCCATTATTGGTGAGAACAGTATGTAACAACAGAAGACAAGGGCCAGGCAACAGATCGTTTTATTACGGAAATCAGCACGTATTTATATATATAGCTTATTCAAGCAAACAAACGCCGTCTTCTGATTGGTTGTTTCTTGCTCAAGGTTATTCTGTACTGCTTGTGACTGGTTCTTCAGAAAGTTAAGACATATATCTGCGAATCGTATTTGCCTACGTTAAGTCTGTTGTGATTGGTTGTTGAATCAGCCTCGTGCATATTTTCTCGCGGCCAATATTAGTGACCTAGACATTGACATGCTAAGAACCAATGGTTGGAGACTATCGGTGATATGGTTCAAAATCGTTCTCAGTGATGGCGTAGATGTGTAACAACAGAAGGTAAGCCAGGGGAGCCAAAGTATATATTTCATTGATCAAACAGCTGTTTATGTATATACAGTTTATGTTATGTAACCAGTCACTGACCGCGTGATTTCGGTTTACATCAAACAACATGAAAGAGAATGATGAAATATACATAGTATTCTGTTGTTAATGCCGAATTGAATTGTGGAAATATGTGAGAATAATATTCCGTTGGTACACATTGTCTGTATCACACCACTACACTCGCCCCCCCACCCCCACGTCAAATACTTCGACAGAAGTCTGTTCGATCTTCTTAGTGCTGGCAGCTTTGTTAGCTTGTCTTGTTGTATCGAGTTCTCGAGCTTACTGACGTTCACCTGCTTCTCTTTGTTTGCATTTCTGATCGTATATATGTGACCCCGTCTCACGGTGACTATTTATGGTCCTTCTCACCTTGGGAGCAGTTTGCATGATCCTGGGTCGTATACGCCGCTGTTTCGCCTCACACTATCTATCATATTCTGCCGTCATCCGACCTCCTAGCAGCGTTCCGAATAACAGCTTCATCGCTGAAGGATCTTGAACGCCACTCAACCTCGCAACACAGCCTCGAAGTCCTGCAAGAAGAAGATCCATACGTCTCCTTTTTCAAAAACTGCAGGGCATAGGTCATCAGGTAGCGACACCAAATGTAACAACAGAAGGCAAGGGGCATGGAAGCCAAGGTATGTTTTCAAGTGATCAAACCGCTGTTTATATGTACACAGTTTATATTCTCTAACCGGTCACTTCTTGTGACTCCGCTAAAAACTCGTGTTTATTCCCCACTTCTCCCATATATTTCTAAAGTTCTGAATTCCTTTTCTCTCTGTTCTCTACCATTGTGTGCTACATGTAATGTGACGAGTAGAATTACTTCATTTCTGTACAGACCTCTATATTGAAACTCAGTCAGTCAAGATGACGAAGACTGGTAATCAGTCTCTTGATAATAAATTATCTTGTATAGTTTTCATTCTCCATTGACTAATAGCAATGTTGATCTTCTACTGGTTCTAGTTCTTCCAACTTTTAAGAAGTATTACTTCTGTTGGAGGTGATTGATACCTACTACGCATAAATTTGTCAACAACCCTAGTTCTTTAAAGTGTTGGTTTGTAGGGATTTGGTTGGTTACAGGATTTCATCATGAGCTGACAAGCCAACACTTCACTATCGATGAGATGCTCACTGGCGACTTGCGCTATTCAGGTAGGTAGTTACCTGGGGTTCTAGTGAGAAGTCGTGACCACCAGTAGGGTGCAGCAGGTCGAGTGTGAGGACAAATACTTACCGAAGACATTGGCTAAGGGTCGCTGTATGTCATGAATTGGCAGAAGTTAGAATTCATGAACTGGCCATTGAATCGGGTCCCAGTGGCTTAATGGCGTATCAGCTAGCTCACCTTGTAACCAGAATGTCCTGGGTTCGAACCATGGTGGTCTGGGTGCGTACTGATGAAGAGTCCCAAACTAGGACGAAACAACTGTCCAGTACTCCCAGGTTTTCCAATGGCTCTCTAACTAATATCAGCTCATGATAAAATCCTGTAACCTTTATTTCTTCTAAACTGAAATGTGTAGGTGTTGGCGTAAGTGCTCGACTTTCAAACAATGAGTCCCAGATTCAAATCCCAGCCCGCTTACTTCACTCTGCGCAACTAAGTAGTATTGTAACAACAGCAGACGAGGGCCAGTCAACAGATCGTTTATTAAGGATTTTCATGTACATTATTATAGATTATTGTTAGCAGAAAAACAGTCTTCTGATTTGTGGTTGTTTCTTACTAAAAGTTAACCTTGCATCTCTTTGTGGCTGTTTCTTGAATGCCAGATCATCTATCTGCTAATTGTATCCGCCTACGCATAGTCTTCTGTGATTGGTTGTTGAGTCAGGACATAAACATTGACGTAAAGTACTGGCTACCAGTTTCGGCTAGCAGACAGCTCTCACCACAGTATTACCCAATCTTCATACTATAATTGTTGCTCTCACAGTGTAGTATATGATAAGTTTGTGCACCTAAGAGCTGAGTTCCAATCTTCTAACTCACTAACAACACTTCCAATGAATTGATACACGCTAGTGACTTAGCCAGAAAGGATTACCAACGAGAAACTCTGACGGACAACAGACCATCCAACAAACCAATAAATATGCTGAAGAAAATGGAGATTTAATTGAACACACACTGAGGAGACCGTTAAGTGGTACCACACACACACACTCGCACGCTAGACAGACCTTCAGTTGGAACCCGAGTGGGAAACGACAAGTTGTAGATGTCGGTGCGACAGTGACATGGAGGAGATCGTGGAAAGAGGAGATGAGAGAGAGAGAGCCTATAGGGAATTATATACAGTCAGCTACAGAGGAGGATTACCTGGAAAAGAGTGGAATGAAGACATACTGTTGTGAAGCCTCTGTGCTACACTCACGACCCAAGAGGATAATAATAATAGTAAAAATAAAAGTGATGGACAGTTAAATTTATATCTAACCATGATAACACATTTTATTTTATTTTTTCATTTATTTTGTTTAATTCAATAGGTTCAGACGCTGTATTAGATGCCATGAAAAGAGAATATACAATTGAAGAATTTTCACGTGTTGTAGATTATCTCAAGGAGAATGTACAACCTACAAATTTGTAAGATGAAATTTTTTTAATTGATTGATTAATTGATTACTATTAGAACAAGACACATAAGCGAACAATATTGCTGTTTTCAATTAGATCTTCTTCAGGCTTTACTCTAACTTACATAGATTTATATATAAGGCAGTTTAACCAATGACGGTGATTTTGTGGATCAAATTATAATAATGGATGGATGTCCCACTGACGACAATGGTTGGGGTCGCGCTAAATCACGAATTGGTAGAAGTTAGAATTCATGGGAGGACTGTTGAGTTGAGCCACAGTGGCTTATCGGTCTATGAGCTTGCTTTGTAACTGGAAGGTCATGGGTTCGAGCCCTGGCAGTGGGTGCGTACTGCCGATAATTCCCAAAGTAGGATGAAACAGCAGCTGTCCAGTACTCCCAGCTGGTTTTTCAATGGTTCTCTAACTGATATCGATCCGTGATCAACTCGTAAAAATAATCATAATAATGTGGTAAATGTTTTGAACGTCATTAATAAAGATGATTATAATGATAACAAAATATAGATAATGAGGTTTATGCAGGTGGTGATAAGAATAACGAAAGTAGTATTGTGTGTGTGTGTGTATGTAGACAATTCAATAAAAAAATAAATTAGGTTAAATCTCAAAAGTTACGTAATACTAAGGGTAGGTGAAGTGGATAGATACTAAGAGTTTAAATAAATATCATAAAAGTACGAAGGAGATGGAAGATAAGAAAGAGCGGGAGGGTTTTGAATAGAACTCACGTTCGTACTTTTAAGATATTTATGTAAACCCTGATTATCTGTCCACTTCACCTACCCTTAGTATTACGTGGCTTTTAAGATTAGACCTAATTTATTTATTTGCTTATTAAATTGTCTACATATACATACATATTACTGCCTTAGCTTCGTTATTCTTATCGCCACCTGCATAAACCTCATTATCTATATTTTGTTGTCATTATAATCATCGTTATCAATGACGTTCAAAAGATTTACCACATTATTATTATTATTTGATCCACAAATTCGCTGTCATTGGTTAAATTGCCTTATATATATAAGTCTATGTGAATTAGAGTAAAGTCTGAAGAAGATCTAATTGAAAACAGCAATATTGTTCCCTAATATACGTCATGTTTTAATATCAATAATGCGAATATTTAATGATTGATTGATTACTGCAAGAAAATATTTTCCATGTTAAGTTTCTAAATGAGTGTTAGTCAACCTGGATATGCTTTCAGTTCTAGTGTAAATATCTTGTGACAAATCGAAAAATCAATTACAGAATCAAGCACTGGACAAGTGTTTCATCCTCGTTTATGACTCTTCATCCTTGTTACTATATGATTCCACCTGAAGTCAAACTGTGAACACCTTACAGTCGCGAACATCGATGAACGTCTCTTTATATACTACTGATAAATCTCATTAGTAGCACAATCCATATCTCCACCAAAACAAATATAATCTGTGACCAATCAGCTGACTTGATGGACTCCATTGATCATAGCTTCTTTGATCTGCGTTAAGGTTGAGCGTTTAGTCTACAAGTCATATTGTGGTGAGAGCTGGCTGCTAGCCAAATTGGTAAACAGTAATTTACGTCAATGTTTACGTCCCCAATATTGGTCATGAAAAAAAATAAGAACAAAGACTGATTCAACAACCAATCACAGCAGACTGCGCGTAGGCGGATACACTTAGCATATAGATGATCTGACATTCAAGAAACAGCCACAAAGAGATGCAAGATTAACTTTCTGTGAGAAACAACCAATCAGAAGACTGTGTTATTGTGCTAACAATAATCTATAATAATATACATGAAAATCTGTATATATGTCAAAAACTTTTTGGACTATCAGATAATATTTCCCAATGACTTAACCGGTAATTTAACATCCGTATTATGAACATTAATTGACTGCTTTGTATGCTTTTAGAGCGGTTGGTACTTCTCTGTTGCGTACACTATAGTTAATTTTGGTCCTTCGGGTACCTAAAACAGTAAGAGTATTGGTTGTTGCATGACTATGGAGCCCAGGGGTAACTACTTGACACCTGTTTGAAGCGCATTTTGGAGTTGCATCCGTATTAAGGTCATAGTGCCGGCTACGAACCACGGGAAAAGTTATTAGGGATGTATAGTTTTCTTCATTTTCCCTTCCGAGAGTGAAAAAGTAGTTACAGCTGGCTTGTTGGTCATCTGAAGGCAACACATACAGTACGACTTCTTCCACAGACCCTGAACAGAGTGTGACCACTTTATTATACTATAGTGGTAAATGCTTTTAGTTTGATCTCTGTTGACACAACCTTTTTGGCTTGAAAAATTAATTCCAGCCAGCGTAACTCGTTAAGTCATTGCGATATGCAAGTCCGACCATGACCACGTCAAGACTGCATCTTTAGGTGGAGGGCACTAATTGGCGACTGAACGTTAACGGATGTATCATTTTCATTTATTATCTACTTGTTACGTAATTTCCCTTGAAAAAGAATTACTCCACTTTCTTCTTCTTCTTTTTTCTCAATTATTCTAGACCAAATGATGTACCTGACAGTACACCGAATGGTTGTGGACAGTTAACAATTGCTACAGATATTATCTGTGGTTTTCCAAATGAAACAGAAAATGATTTTAATCAAACTGTCCAACTAATTGAAAAATATCATTTTCCTGTACTTCATATTAATCAATTTTTTGCACGTCCTGGTACCCCGGCAGCTAATATGCAAAGGTAGGTTTTATTATATGCGTTTTGACCACACACACACCTTCTTGACCACCAATCCCAGTCATCCACCTGGTTTTTTATTTCGAACTCTGTCAGCTATAGCTGACTTTACTTGTCTTTACTTGTTGTTACTCTGTTGAGTTTAACATTTTTCGACTTTCTTCAAGTTGTTCAACTACGAGCCACCCTGACGGTTATCATCTTTATTGGCTGTCTTCAATGGCATGACACTCCATCCATTGTGTATTACAGTAATCGTGTTTCATAATAATGGTAGATATAAGAATGTCTTGTAGTGCTGTTTCTTAAGGTTCACTTACGTAAACCTTGTTTTAACTTTTACTGTCTGTAAACAGTCAAGTTAGGTGGGTTGTCTTCTTGGCATCAGTTGAGTGGCAGTTGAGAGTCCACCCAGCAGCGACGGCTTAACTATAAACTACTATTCAATCGGTATTAGTTGCTCAACAACCATCTGAATTTTTTTTTGTATTCCTTTACGTTCCCAGTGGAACATAGCGCGAGGGCTTCAAGCTAGAGGCTTGAAGTTTCGGTAGCAATGGTATTTTTTTGGTTTTCACGGGATGGGCTTGGTAGCCTCATGTCCAACTTCCCCTCTTTACCAGTCTTGTTACTACTGGTTTAGCGAGGTAAAAGTATGCGTAGGTGTACTAATGGACTTAACCCCAACTCACTTCAGCGACTCACGGATTGACTTGCTACCAGGGAATAATCTTGTTGAATTAGAATATGCAGACGATATAGTCCTTTTAGTGAGAACGCTGACAAAATGCAGAGTCTTCTAAACACCTTGAGCTGCAATCTACAAATGCTAGGCATGCGATTCGCTCCCGCCAAACGCAAGATGATGTTACAGGACTGGAATACACCGACTCCTAAATTAGAAATAGGAAGTGAAGTAGTAGAGCACGTTAACCGCTTCACTTATTTGGGAGTACCCTCAGCCAGTCCCAACAGGTTGATCTCTGATGGAATGTCAGTACGGATACAGTGGGCTCGTTTCGCATTTGCCAGTTTACGCCGTATCTGGCGCAGACGTGATATCTGGCTGGCTGGTTATCGACCAAAGGGCGTGTGTATTGCTCAGCAGTCCACTCCGTCCTCCTTTATGGCTAGCTGTGAGAGCTGGTCATTGAGAGTGGAAGACATGAAAAGACTGCCTAGTTGTCTTTGATCATAGGTGCCTGAGTTCTATCTCCCGTGTGAAGTGATGGTATAATAAGGTGAGCAATATTGAGGTTAGGCATCAGTCGAGTGCTAGGTGAGTGGGAGGGGAAATTAATCGACGAGGCTGTGAAGTTACATCGCCTGAGATGGTTAGGACATGTGTTACGTTTGTCTAGTCATCGCCTTCTTCGACAATGGGCGATGTTAGCTGATATAGGGTCAGACTGGAAAAGAGCTAGCAGCGGCGGTCAAACCAAAACATAGCTTCACTAGTCAATGAAATCCACAACAGTTAGTCTTAGCCACGCAGGAAGGTGTAGACTTCCTGACTGGTTGGGTTCCTCCAGACGGTAAAAACCAATGGTTGGAAACAAGTGGTGATATGGCACAAAGTCCTTCTCAATGGCTGGCGCAGATGCATCCACTCCTTGTGGCTTATGATTTCCAATGTAACTGTATTATTCTTCGTTATTACTATTCCTATGTCTCTAACCTCTGTTTTGCTGTCTCTTTTATATACATTTCTTTTACTTTCTTCTCTCGGTTTGTGTGTTACATGGAAGGAGTGTTGCGACTTGAACTTCCGCACACATGTGCAAATTTCTATGTCGAAAACAACAGACAGTTGACCGGAGATCGAATCCGGAACCATTGTGGCGTGGCTGGCAAGCATTTTACCGCGGTGCCACTGACGCCTCTGAATTCATATCTAACTAATACTGAGACATACCTGATGTCTAAGGTTTGATGATGCTAATATTTGACTGCCTACCAACCCTTATTTAGGGTAGTGAAGCAGGTTGTGAATTCGTGACCACCCCTCTTTTTTGAAATTCGACTGTGTAGATCAATCAGGGACGTCTGAAAGAGCGTTTGTTTCAAAAAACGGCATATAATAATAACAGCTTTAATCTGGACGAAGTGTTTACATAATGTACAGAATTCTTAGCCTTATTTACTGCATAATATTCTCCTTCACCTCCAGGATCTTCAATTGAAATAACAATTTGTGATATATATTACGTAACGCAATGCTGCCCTAGTTCTGAGAAATGCTCAGTGATAGTTTGAGAGCCGGCCAATTAAAATTGTGCGCGAGTATATTTTTCAACTCATGGACATAAATGAATGGTTAAAACAATAGGAATTATACATTATATGATGCATTGTGTTAGATCCAGTGGTTCAAGACGACAGACTACTGATTTTATTCCTGTTACCGTCTTATAAGTATCTCAGATTCCATGTGTGTACGATCATAATGCATCCAACACGATTATCCTACGTTATTATTTTATTTTATTTAAACGCATAAAAACTTGGTACAATATGGCACCAAGAAAGATGCACCACACAATAATAATAAAACAACAGATCAAAAGTTTAAAAAAATATATAAGTAGAGAACGGATAAAGAACTTCATCTGGAAGGAAAACAGTCATGCTTAACAAGTTCAAACAGTATTCGTTAACTATCATCGGGAAGGGAAGAAAGAAGGAAATCGCAACACGTTCGCCACTGATTACCATTCTTGGCCATATCCGATAACGTTTCGAGCCATCGATTTGAGCTGTTGCTTCATTTGATTTATTGTGTGAGGGCTGAGATACTGCCCGGGCGCCCAGACCGAAGCAGGTGGTTTTATTAAGGGACCACCCCCGAGCCTTCGACTTGGAGTGTAATCCGCTAGGCAGCGTCAGGAGCTGCATTCCCATGGTTGACGGTGACCCATATGGGTTCATACGCCATTTGATCCGATTGGATTCTGGAGACCATGTACCCCATGGTAACTGCTTTTAGTTTAATCGCTATCCAAACAACCATCCTGATATGGTAGGACCTGCAGGGACAGAGTTCCAGTCAGTTTAGCTTGTTGGGTCGTTACGGTATTCAAGCCCGACCACCACGTCAAGGTAGCAGTTGTCGGCCGGGATCCTACGTCTGTCTGTCTGTTTCCGACATAGAACTTTGCACAAATGTGCGGAAGTTCAAGTCGCCACACTCCGTGTAGCACGCGAAGCAAGAGAAGAAAGTACAAGAAAAGCATAATAGAAACAGTGAGCAGAGGTGTGAGACAAAGGAGGAGTAATAACGAAGAACAAAACAGTTTCATTGGAGATCATAAGTCACAGGGAGTGGATGCATCTGCGCCGCTATTGAGAACGATTTCGAGCCATGTCACCAATTGTTTCCAACCATTGGTTTTTACCGTCCCGAGGACCCCAACCAGTCAGGAAGTCTACACCTTCCTACGTGGCTAAGACTAACTGTTGTGGATTTCATTGACTAGTGAAGCTATGTTTTGGTTTGACCGCCGCTGGCTAGCTCTTTTCCAGTCTGACCCTATATCAGCTAACATCGCCCATTGTCGAGGAAGGCGATGACTAGACAAACGTAACACATGTCCTAACCATCTCAGGCGATGTAACTTCACAGCCTCGTCGATTGATTTCCCCTCCCACTCACCTAGCACTCGACTGATGCCTAACCTCAATATTGATCACCTTATTATACCACCACTTCACACGGGAGATAGAACTCAGGCACCTATGATCAAAGACAACTAGGCAGTCTTTTCATGTCTTCCACTCTCAATGACCAGCTCTCACAGCTAGCCATAAAGGAGGACGGAGCGGACTGATGAGCAGTACACCCGCCCTTTGGTCGATAGTCGAACATCCTACGTGATGAAACAACTATCTTTTTATTCCTTCTGATCAGTTATACAAGGCTTACAAATATCGAATAGTTTGGATAGTGGCTTATTTTATTATTTGTGATCATTTAATCATCGAGTGGAAACAATTTTGGGGCCATGTCGGTGACTTCGTCAAAAAGAAACAAAAATCGTCTTCTCCGCAAACGTCTTTTTTTTCTATATTCCTCAGTTCTGACTACTTATCATTATGACACTGAGATAAGCATATGTGTGATGTTTTTTCCACTGTTGACTTGAAACAATGCGCCAACTTCTGCTGGTCAAATTATATTTTTATATGATGGCATCTTGGCACAGATACAAATGATTCCTGTAGTTTTTGCTATAACTTACGTCGTCGTCGTCGTCTGTGGTGGCGTAGACGTGATGTCCAATTATGTATTAACGGTTCTCTCTATCCGTCTTTGTGGCTGTTAAGGCATAACTGTTGGATTGAGTCCCAGTGACTTAATTGATCTACGAGCTAGTTCACACCAACCTTGTAACCAAAAGGTCCTGGGTTCGAACCCCGCAGTAGGGGTGCGTACTGATGAAGAATCCCAAACTAGGACAATGGAAACATCTGTCCAGCACTTCCAACCGGTTTCCATTGGTTCTCTAACCGATGTCAACTTATCCATGATGAAATCCTCCAACCAATCCCTATAAAAGTTGACACTTGAAAGTGAAAGACTTGAAGAGGCTAACTTTCTTTGACTAAAGATGCTTTGTACCTGCAGCCTCCAGTGTTACTGAGTTTAGACGCAGAGTATTAAGTAAAGGGGTGAAAGCTGAATTGGATGAAATGGCTAGAAGGTGGTCTGTCTGTCTGGATTCAACATAGAACTTGGCACCGAAGTGCAGCAGTTCGAGTTGCCACGTTCCAAATAGCACACAGAGGTAGACAAGAAGATGAGTGAAGAGAATCAATAGAGTTTGACAAGTATAAGAGTGAAACAGAATGGGTAATGGTAGAAAGGAATATGAAAGATTACAGAGACTGAATACATCTGCGCCATTGACAACGATTTTGAGCCATGTCACCTATTGTCTCCAGCCATTGATTCCTAGAGTCCCGAGGGCCCCAACCCGGGAGTCTGCATCTCCCTACCTGACTCAGTTTAACTGTCAAGGATTTCATGGATTGATGCCATGTTTTTGTTTGGCCACCACTGGCTCTTTTCCAACCTGAACCTATATCAGCTAGCAATGCCCGTCGGGGGAGGCGGTGGTTAGGCATGCGCAGCACGTGACCTAGCCATCTTAGTCTATGTAACTTTATAGCCTCGTCGATTGATTTTCCCTCTTTGCCCAACACTCTACGCCTAACGTCAACATTACTTATCTTGTGAAACCACCTAACGTGAGACAGAGATCGCAGACATCTATGATCGAAAGCAGTCAACCTTTTCATGTCTTCAACGCGTATTGGCCATGTTTCAGAGCCATAGAGAAGGACGGAGCGAACTGATGAGCAGTACACACGTCCCTTGGTTGATAACCGGATGTCACGCCTACGCCAGAGATGGTGTAAGTCAGCGAAAGCAGCTCGAGCTTTTCGGATCCGTGCTGAGATTTCATCGCCAATCAGTCCGTTGGTGCTAATACAACTTCCCAAGTAGGTGAAGTGGTCAACATGTTCTATCACTTCACTCCCTATCACTAAGTTAGGGGTTGACGGGGTCCAGTCCTGTAGCAGCATCTTACATTTTGCAGGGGCGAATCGCATGCCAAACATACGAAGATTGCTGCTCAAGGTGTTCAGAAGACTCTGCATTTTGTCAGCATCCTCCCCTAACAGGACTATGTCATCTGCATATTCTAAGTCCATAAGATTATTCCCTGGTAACAAGTCGATTCCTAAGTCACTACGTTCAGTTAAGGATACTTCCATTAGCATATCTATGATGAAGTTAAACAGAAATGGGGAAAGTGGACATCCCTGTCGGACACCACTGGTTGTTACCAATTCAGATGACAATTCCCCATAAGCCCTTACACGACTACGTGAGTTTGAATAGAGTGCCTTGATTAGTGCAATGTACTTTCTTGGCACTCCCTTCACAGTCAGACATTGCCATAGTACCTTTCGATCCACGGAGTCGAAGGCCGCCTTCAAGTCAAGAAATATGACAATTGTTGGACGCCGAAAAGTGTGTCTATGTTCTAGAATCTGTCGAAGAGTGAAGATATGATCTATGCACCCTCTACCTGGTCTAAAGCCTGCTTGATTTTCCCTTGTCTGTTCCTCCCGAGTTCTGCTTAGTCTATGCATGATTACTGAGCCTAGGATTTTAGAGACTATGTTCGTTAGGCTGATCCCCCTATGATTATCACACGAGGACTTGTTTCCCTTCTTGAATATCGGTATAATAAGTGACTTACCCCAGTCTGATGGTACTGTCTCTGATTCCCAGACTTTGCCTAGTACCTCAGTTAATCTACAAACTAGTATGTCACCCCCATATTTAAACACCTCCGGAATAATTCCGTCGGGTCCTGCCGCTTTGCCTCGTTTCAAATTACTGATAGCTTTTGTAACCTCACCTACAGACGGCGGACCAGTGTCTATATCCCATTCGGGTACGTGGTGGATGGCGGGGAGGTTCAGTGTGGCTGTAGGCAAGTTAAATTGTTCCTCAAAGTGTTCTTTCCAGCGTTCAAGGCGTCTATCCTGAGAGCTAATTAAGGAGCCATTTTTCTCAGAAATAGTCTCACTTATGAATTGCCTTCTCCCACCCGATTCTGTGATGAGTCTAAAGAGTTGCCTAGTGTTGCCTATCGCCGATGCTTTTTCCATCTCTTTTGCCTTTGTCAGCCACCACTGTTCACGGTCACACACACCAAGTCACTGCCTTCTTCGTTGATTAATGCTAGCCAACATAGAATTAGGTTGAAAAAGAGATAAAAGTGTGATCAAATAACAACTTTAGCATCAGTCCATGAATTCCTTGATTGTCGGTCTTAAGGATGGATGTAGGGAGCGGCGAATCTCATCAAAATGTTAAGAACGATAATGCAGCTATATCCAATAAGCCCTCATTATTCTGCATATAATCACTCTTATTATATTTCCTTTGAGTGCTTTGTGGAATATGGCAAGTTGAGCTGTTGAACTTCTTCTCTACAAAATTTAACGTTGAAAACAAGTTAGTGTGTCTATAACTTCCATGTCTCAAATCTACTGCAATGTGTTCCTCACGAGTGTCAGTTTTTTCCAATCGAATTCTCACTTTTCACATTTCAAGGTGATTATTTCACCGTAGTTTTATTTGGAACCTGACCAATAGCTGCTACCTTAACGTGGTGGTCGAACTTGCATATCACAATGACCCAACAAGCTACACTGGCTGGAACTAGTGTTCCTGTAGGCTCTACCATACCAGGAAGATTGTTAGGATAGTGGCTAGACTAATAGCAGTTATCGGCATAATGTGAGCACTTTTTTTACTTTATGCTGGGGAACAGGGATGTAACAGCAGTGAGGTGTTTCCCTCAGATGACCAGCATGCCAGCCAGCTATGCTGTTTCTACACTGTAGAGAGAGATTAGAAAAAAAGTACCCGAAGAAAAAATCAGTTTCGACGGTGTGGGCAGTCAGCAAGTAACAACTGCTGACATACTTCCAAAACCATACGAAGCCTTCCAGAGCATCATTCTCCTTTATCCACATCACCCTCATCGTCTTACTTCCCTACTGCAGTCAGTCGTATTCCGCAGACTAGTGAGTCATCTTCACTCTGTCACCACAAACAACGAAGGCCTCTTCAAGTCACGTCGTCAACTTCGTATAGAAGCATTTAACGTCAGGACTCTCTGCGAAATCGGACAACAGACATCACTAGCCAGAACTCTCGCATCTCGAGTCACAGATGTATGTTGTTTCTTGGAGACACTCATACAAGACCCGAGTGTGGTTACTCGCCTAACACCACCCACTCCACGTGGTTAACAAAGTGAATCTGAAGAATTCACTTTAAGGGTGTCAGGAGACTCTTCAGCTAGTTCACAAGAATTCACAGGGTTAGGGATAGCATTGAGTGTTAGGGTAAGAAAAACGACCACTTCTTGACTGGATCCCAATGATAGTCATATGTGTGCTGTCCGTTAGAAGAAGGAAGGGATGACGTTACTCGTCGTTGTCTTTTCATAATTTCCGCTTATGCCCCAACAGTCAGTTTCATTCAGAAATCGACATAACTCATATCATGCACAGTATGTGACCTACTTGTCAGCATGAATGGTAGTCAGGAAACGAAGCCTTAAATGCATAAAACTATATACGACTTAATGATTCAGATGAGTAGCGGTATACGAGTTAACATGAACCAGGTGTGCTTGTTAGCTCAGCTCTTTGCTCAAGGTTAAACTGGGTACACCGCTGTTGAACTCAGCCCAAAAACGAGGGAAACGGACCGTTCTCGTTAGCAAGTACTACTCTTTTTTAGTGTGCGTCGTATACTACTACTACTACTACTTATCTCAACCATTAGTAGTATACATCATTTCATGGTTTTTTATGTCAGTTTAATTCACTCCAGTACACTCTTAATTATCGTCTTTTTTGTTGTTTTTGTATTTACAGAAAAGCAACAACAGCAGAAGTGAAACTTCGTACACGAAAATTACACGATTTATTTCGAACTTATCGTCCTTACGATGTCGTGTTGGTTGTAAAGTTCGTGCACTGATTACTGAACCAAGTTTTGATGGTAAATATTGGGTTGGACATACAAAAGCTTATGAACAGGTAGGTGAATGATTACTCGCCCCTTCTTGTGGAACTTTTTTTCAAATTACGGAATTTTTTTTTATTTATCGTTCAGAGTGTCAATGGTGGTGGTAAGGTTACTTACTAATTGGTAGTCGACATTATAATCTCAGTTGTCTTTGCACCTTTGGATTTTAGGTTCGGTAGGTGGTCAATTCAATGTTTTTTTTAACACCTTCAAGATGACTATTCTATAGTGTGGCTTATGGCAGAATAATAATAATATAATGACCAATATCCGCGACTTAGGACTCTGCAAGAACTGGCGAGGAATCATGCTCCTGTCGACGTCAAGTAAAATTCTGAGTCGCATCATCCTGGAGAGAATTAAGGATGCACTGGATACAGAAGTCTGCCAACCAGAACAAGCTGGATTCAGGAAAGGCAAAGCATGGAATGGCAATCAAACCTCTACCTCAACTTTATAGACTTTGAGAAGGCCTTCCACAGACAGCGTTGGCCGTGAAATAGTTTGGAAACTACCCGAGTACTACGGCGTACCCCAAATATTCATCAAAATTATTCAACAGCCGTACGACAACGGCACATGTCAAGGGATCCACAACGGAAAACTCAGTGAGGCGTCTCGAGTAAACACAGGAGTCAGATAAGGGTGCTGCTTATTATCACCCACAATCATATTCTTAATTGTGGTAGACTGACTGGATTATGCGTCAGGCAGTGGGAAACGAGAATACACGGATATCCTGAACCGACTGACGTGAAGAACCTAGAAGACCTGAATTTCGCGCATGGATGATTTATGTTTGATGTCACACAAAACCGAGGACTTACAAGCGAAAACCGACCGACAAACTGGGCGAAGAAGAAGCCGGCGAAGACAGGACTCCAGGTGAACATAGAAAAGATGGAGGTTATGAAAATAAACAACCAACCAACAACAACAGCAACATCCAGCCCCGATCACCATCAACGGGAGGGATTTGAAAGAGGTCACTTCATTCACTCACTTATCTAGGGAGCATTGTCTCAACCACAGAAGGAAAGGACGAGGATGTCAAATCGGCGAGAATCGGAAGCCGAGCGAGGAACACATTCATCAACCTGAAACCAATCTGGAAATCTTCGTCACACAACTCAGAATCAACAACAAAATTCGGTCGGATTTCCAATACAAACAAGATCAAGTCAGTCAGCTCTTCTATACCGACCAGAAACTAGGCGGGGGAGGGGTCACAAAGAATATTTCCAACAGCCTGTTGCAGACCTCTATCGACAACTGAAGATCAGATGGCCGGGCCGGAAAGAATCACCACCAACAAGAAACTATGGGAACAGGCAAAACAAGAACCAATCGCTAACCAACAAATATGTAGGAGATGAATATAGAAACGGATTGTACACTCGCTGAGGAGGTCGCTGGGTGACATCGCGCGCGCGTCAGGCCATTGCTCGAGTGGAACCCGACTGAATGGGAAGCGGCGAGTGGAACTTTCAAGGGTGACATGGAGGTGATCGTGTGAAGAGGAGTTGAAACAGTATGGACTGACTAACATGGATGCAGGTGAAAATTACAGTAGAAGGAGGACAGAAGCAAGTGGAGACGTGCAGTTGAAGCCCTATGTTCCACTAGAAACCCATGGGAACAATAATAATAATATCTGCTGAAGGCTTGTATGTACTTCTTTCAGAAGTGTTGGTGTTTAGATTAATTCCCATTGTACACTTAGTAGTCACAAACTAAAATCAATTAGGAAATCATTGAAAAGCAGTAAGAATTGAAAATAAAGCTGTTTCGTCCCGGTTTGGGATTCTTCAGAAGTAGGTTATGTGATGAATGTTCAGAGGTTTTAATGACAAATCTTGGATGCTGGTGTTCATCTATGATATTAGTTTTAGTTACCGGTATATAGAGTGAATTATCGGGAAGTCAAAATTCAAAGGTCATTTAGTTAGTGTATGGTCAGCAACCTGACCTGGTTACCTAAAAGTCTTGTCTCTGATTCCCTGAGGAGTTATGCATATGCATTGGTTAGGAATTTTAAACTATAGCAGAATGGCTGTCCAGTACGCCGTGATCTTCACTTAATCACTAAGTGGATATTGGTTCATAGCCAAGTCTACATTCATAATTTTTTTTATTTCTGAATGGATCTTATGGGTGTTTGTTGTGTGGTACTACAGTACCCAATCTTCAATATATAATTCTCGTATAAGATGAATTGATGAACTCCATCGTTCAAAAGAAGGAAGCATATTGGCATATTATGTTACTACTTAGTCACTAATACTTATCCAGACAGCATCCTATCAACTCCAAGTCCTATAAATAAGGATGTCAAAGCCAACTAGGAATGTGAGGGAGGGGGGAGAAGCAAGACAGATCTTCATTACTGTTTAATCAATATGTAAATCTGTTGCACTGCACCAAGCATAAATAATCATAATTATTATTTCCTTTTAATTCCTAGAGGGGCATAGGGCTTCAGCCGCGCGTCTCCATTGCGTTCGTTTCTCTGCTAGAGTTTTCATCTGGCTCCAAGTCTTCCCACATGCTTTCATCTCCTCTTCACATGACTTTCCCCATGTCACCCTCGCACTGATGACCAACTCGCCGCTTCCCGTTCAGGTTCCGCTCGAAAGCCTGTCTTATGATGTCACTTGATGGTTTTCTCAGAGTATGGTCAATCCATCTCCATTTCTTCCTGCCTATTTGTTGCACAATCGATTCTTGGCTAGTTTGCTCCCAGAGATCCCTGGTGCTGATCTTTTCTGGCCAACCGTCTGATCTTGAGTAGTATTGAGCGAAGACAGCTAGCTGTTAATGATGAAGGTCTGTAGTTTGTTTGAAGTGCCCTTCGTGGCGCGGTGCCAAGTTTCTGATCCGTGTAGCAGCACTGACTGACTTCACATTGCATTTAAAAATCTGGATCTAATTATTCATGCTGAGTGCTGTTGACCTCCAGACAGACTTGATAGTAATGAAAGCTTGATTTGATATCCTCATCAGCTCCGTCTGCTGCAGTTGAAACTTTGCCTCCCAGTAGGTAAAGGAGTTGTTTCTTTCAGGTTCCTCCCATTTATGCTGGCTGATTGTTTTTCTGTTGTTGTTGTTGTCCAGGAATCTTCATCGCCTACTTCTGATTTTTCTATGTTCATCTGAAGTCCAATCGTCTCTGGATGCTTCTTCTGTCAACTTGTTGATTATCATCACTTGCATATCTTCCATTTTGTGGGAAATCAGACATGTATATCATCGTCGAAGTCCACATTCTCCAAGTTCTTTGTGTGCGTCCATTTTATGCTTGTTTCCTCGCTTCCTGCTGTTTGTTGCATTATCCAGTCTACCGTTTTCAATCAGGAAAATCATTGTAGACAGTAGGTAGCCAGCCAGCATTGTCTTACTCCCGTCTTCACTTCGAAGGATTCCGTGAGTTTCCCGTTGTGGAGTACTTGGCATACAGCATTGTCGTATAACTGTTGAGTGAGATGTATAATTGTCGGTGGCACCCCGTAGTAGGGAATTAGTTGCCAAATCACCTCTCGATCAACGCTGTTCTAGGCCTTTTTAAAGTCAATGAAGTTGAGTTAGGTAGATAACTGACTGCCCTATTCCAGGCTTTGTTCAATGATGATCCGTAGTGTGGTGATTCGATCGATGCATGACTTATTCCTCTTGAATCCAGTCTGTTCTGGTCGAAGTTTTTCATCCAGGTTGGCGTGTTTGATTCTCTCCAGGATGATGCGGCTTAGTACTTTGCTTGGGATGGACAGGAGCATGATGCCGCGCCAGTTCTTGCATTGACGTAACAATAATGTTAATGAATCTACTTTATTCCAAAAACAGTATTTATCATACATAATGGAATTCTCAGTATGTGTCACAATATTGCGTTTGATTTACTCAAAATATAAATAAAATTAAAAATTAAAAGAAAATTAACCAGAGGAATTTGTCCACGCTTATGATATTTGAAGCACGAATTGAGATCATTAACTATTAATAATAATAATAACAGTGAGTTTGTTTCAAACAGTATTATCGATTCAGTTTGAAAATTTTAGCATGAGGGGAAATACGAAATTAACAGTTACAACACAGCTTAAATGATGTTCACATTTATGAAAAAAATAAACAAAACGAAAAATTGAGAGGATTATAAATAAAAGAAGTACAATAACAATAAAGTTTGATGTTGTAAGGGTGGAGGAAATGGTCAGTTTAGTAGTGCAAAGAAGGTTAGTTAGTTAGTCCATGTGTGACATTATTTTCATCACATAAAGTACGTTCGGCCAAATATGGTTTAGTGGAATTTTTATACTTAGACGTAGGTGCATAAAGTCTTCTGAAAAAACTTCTTGTTCTCCCTGAGGAGGAGACACAAGTTTGGTGCTGCGGTGGATGCTCACAGTCTGACAAAATTCCTTTAGCAAATTTGTTCTATGACATCAAGTGCCTATCAATGACAATGTTAACGATATGACCCAATGGCATAACACTCGCCTTACTGGCTGACAGTGTTCAGAGTTCTACAAAGTATGACATAGTCTTTCCTATTAAGCAATCCAGGAAAGGAAAAGTCTTGATCTACAAGACTCATGTCAAGTTAGTTGATGCTTTTAATATGGTTCATGCATTTGGCATAAAAGTTACAAAAACCATTTCTAGGAGATAAATGCAGACTTTCATCAACAGCTACCTTCGCTCTAGACTGAAGATTAAACTATCGGTTAAAAATGGCTAAGAAACGCAGACTATACTAATATACCAATCAATATGGCAGCCTTAGAAGCAGTTAAACAAGAACTAACTGCAGATCCTGGACTCACTTATAGGACAAAGCTGTCCATGGAAGAGATTATTTTAAGAATTCAGTGTTATGCCTCACATCTACTATCTTTAAATTCCAAGGCAAAATATGTAGACAAACAGAGATGGATCACCAATATCCCCTATCGTAGTGGATATCTTCATCGACAGCTGGGAAAATATGGCTCTTAATACGTTTAATCCTACTGCAAAAATATGATGGAGATATGTAGATGACACTTCCACAGTGTTAAAAACAATATATCTCTAGCTTCTTCACACACACATATAAACTCACTAGTGAGGGAATAAAATTCACATTCGAATCGGAAAATGAATATGGAGAATTAGCTATGTTAGATTGTCGTCGGTGGCACAGTGGTTAGGACTCTCGCCGACCATGCACATGGTCCGAGGTTCGAACCCCCGCCGACGCACACCTGATATCTATGGTCGGCCTGCAAAATGTGGGCTACCGATATCCATGCTGAAAATTCCATACTTGTACCAAAAATACAGTGTGGAATCAAGCTGTAAATCAAAAATATAAAAATAAAAAAATAAAACGAATAGAAGAAGGTAAACTGCACACTAGCGTTTATAAAAAACCAACGGATTCTGCTAATAGATATTTAGACTTTAATTCGTCTCATCCGTTAAATGTTAAGGCAGGCTTAGTTAAGTGTCTGTTTAGCGAAACGAGCAGTAGCACTAAGTAGCACAAGAAAAGACCTAAGTGATGAACTAAAACAGATAGAAGAGGCCTTGGTGTTAAATAACTATCCTATAAAATTATTAGGAAGATCGGAAAGGGCCGAAAGCAAAATAAAAATAGTTGTGAAACTAGTAATGATAACATGAATAAGAGAGAATATAAGTCATCCACTGTTAAACCATACAAGGAGGGGGCATCTGAAACCCTCCCTACGTAGCATTCTTAATAACAAAGCAGGAATTAGGGTGGCGGCATTGAAACCTACAAACTCACTCAGAGACAAGCTCTCTAGGCTTAAAGACCCTGTAGGTTGGCCTAATTAGACAAAATAATATAATTTATAAAATACCTTGCAATGACTGTGAGTTAAGTAAACTACATTGGTCAAACTAGTAGGTCAGGGGTAGTCAGATTGTCAGAGCATAAGAATTTAGCTAAGTGAAGAATGGTTGACCCCATCTGAGAAGATAACTAATTTGAAAAAAAGCTTAGCGATTGCACTGCACACACAACCACAAAATACAATGGGTGGGGGAGGGTTAAGATTCTAAAGAGTAATCTATGTAGGTGGAGATAGAGAGAGATTGATTACTGAATCCTGCCTGGTTCATCGAGTCTACACCCAACACATACAACAGAAATGACCCAATGCGAATACCAGAAATACGGAAGATATTATTACCACCAGTCAGTCAAATTAGAGGAGGATAATAAATAATTTTAAAATTGTATTTCAATTCACATACATTATAACATTTTAACAAGTTAGTAATCTTGACGATCAATAACACTCGTAGTATTATTTCTGAATGTACATCATCCCATATTGATTTTTATTTAAATATCTAATCATGAATTCCACACATGTATATAAATTAGGGAAAAAGTTGTCTGAGTAGTGCCTTGATATGATTATGAGTGGCAATAGTTTGTGCTCGAAACGTCATCAGTTAATATTACTGTATAACAACACTGTGTGACACTTTATCAAAATAAAATATAATCTAACGTGACAGAAATATCCTTCATCCCACATGACGACTTCGCCACTTTTTCCATTTAGTCCTATGTCTAGCAAACAGAAACCAGGTACACGGAAGCCTCTGGAATGACATTCGTAGCACATGCCCAAGCCACCGACGTTGGTGTTTCCAGATGACGACACTCATTAAATAGTGACCTTCAATGAGTAGAAACACTCATGCTCTACCGGAGCTCAGAATTACTCACACGATGATTCCACCGGAAGCCAACAACTATGGGGACAGGGATGATCAAATACGTAGAGTCCCCACACATGCTCAGCTGAGATAGGTCAGGTTTCATAGGTATCCAACAAGACTTTACGCATCGACCTTTGACAACCAATCAGGCGGACATTGTGACAGTGCCAGAGATTGGAAACCCTGTGTAACTACACTGTTGGTTAGGAGCATTGATTATATTTGGTTGTTTGCCGTCTCTCTGTGCCTGAGATGTTTGTGTATAAGGCTTTCAGGATGTTGGTAAACTTCTTAGGGGGGGGGCATCTCTCTCCCTAACTTACAGTTTCAGGGAACAGTTTTGTCCAAAGAATCGAAGGTAGTCTTGATATCAATAAACACAACAATTGTTTATCCGCGGTATGTGTGACAGTGTTCTGTCTACTGATGAAATATGAACAGAGATATGATCAGTGCATCCACGAGCTGAATGAAAGTTAACTTTCTCCTCGAGAATCTGTTCTTACGTGTTTTGCGCACAGCCTGTGAAGCGCAAACTGTTGCCAGTATATTTTAGACACGACTTCTATCTTTTACGTGATGGCACTTTCTCGATTATAAAAAGAGATCCATAGACGTTTTCTGAATAGCCTTATTTCTCATCTGTCGATCTGTTTCCAGGATGATTTATACCACATATCTGTGTATTGATTTGGTACGAATGTTTGGCATGCGACTCGCTCCCGCCGAATGCAAGATGATGTTACAGGACTGGACTACATCGACGCCTAGTTTAAAAATAGGGAGTGAATTGGTAGAGCACGTTGACCGCTTCACTTATTTGGGAAGTACCATCAGCCAGTGCCAACGGGCTGATCTCTGACGAAATCTCAGCACGAATACAAGGGGCTCGTTTCGCATTTGTTAGTTTACGCCGACTCTGGCGTAGACGAGATGTTCGACTATCGACCAAAGGGCGGGTGTACTGCTCATCAGTCCGCTCCGTCCTCCTTTATGGTTGTGAGACCTGGCCACTGAGAGTGGAAGACATGAAAAGACTAGCTAGCTGTCTTTGATCTTAGGTGCCTGCGCTCTATTTCCCGTGTAAAGTGGCATAATAAGGTGAGCAACATGGAGGTTAGGCGTAGAGTTCTAGGTAAACAGGGGAAATCAATCGATGAAGTCGTGAAGCTACATCGACTGAGATGGTTAGGACATGTGTTACGTATGCCAAGTCATCGCCTCCCTCGACGAGCTATGTTAGCGGATATAGGGTCAGGCTGGAAAAAAGCTAGCGGCGGTCAAACAAAAACTTGGCTTCACCAGTCAATGAAATCCACAACAGTTGGTCTAAGCCACGTAGGAAGGTGTAGACTTCCAGGCTGGGGTCTTCGGGACGGTAAAAATCTATGGTTGGAAACAATTGGTGACATGGCTCAAAATCGTTCTCAGTGGCCGCGCAGATGCATCCACTCCTTGTGACTTATGATCTCCAATGAAACTGTTTTGTTATTCTTTATTACTCCTTTGTCTCACACCTCTGCTCACTGTTTCTATTATGCTTTTCTTATACTTTCTTCTCTTGCTTCGCGTGCTACACGGAGTGGGGCGACTTGAACTGGTGCACATTTGTGCAAAGTTCTATGTCGAAAACAGACAGACAGACAGTCGAATCGATGTCCGTGTATTGATTTGTACCAGAATTAAGGTAGTTTTATGGGAAGAAGATACGACTCCAGGTAGGCATAGAGAAGACGGAGGTGATGGACATAACTAACCAAACAACAACAACAACAACAGTCAGCACCATCAACGGATAGACTGGACAGAGGTTACTTTCTTCACTTTTCCAGGAAGCTTCGTTACCATCACAGGCAGTTGGAACGGATGAAGATGTGAAAGTTAGCCAAAATAACCAAAAGGAAAGAGATACACCTCTTCATCAACCTGAAGCCCACTTCAGAAATCTGCACAGTTAGTTTCAAGAAAAAGATTTGGATTCTGTTCAACACAAATGTGAAGTCAGCCAGTCAGTCAATTCTATTTGAGACGAGTTTGTCATGAAAAGCATTCCCGACAGGCAGTTGCAGACTTTTATCAACAGCTAACTGCCCCCATCGCTGGCTCCATACTGAAGATCAAATGGCCAGCTGGCCAGACAGAAAGAATTAGCAGCAAGAAACTCAGTCTGGGAACAAACCAACAGGCGACAGCCGATCACTCAACAAGTAAGTAGAGAGAATTGGAGATGAGGAGACCGTTGGACGACATCTCACGCCAGGTCGACGATCGAATGGGAAACAACGAGTAGTGGAACGTCCGAAGGTGAAATGGGAGAGATTATGAGCAATTGTGGAGCCGGGTCAGCTGAAGAGGACTGCAGAAAAATGGAACAAAGTGGAGATGTGTCGTTGAAGTCCTATTATGTTCCACTCGGTGAACCCAAGAGAACAATAATAATATGTGAAAATTACTCATTAGGTGCATTAGCTAACGTTTCGAAAGACGACAGTAAGTTACATTTACTTTTCAATACTGTAATCTCTCATAATTGATCTTTATCTCTTTTCATTTGTATAGATTTTACTCCCAAAAGATCCTAATGTCTATGGTCGGATTGTGTTAGTTCAAATCGTGGAATGTGATAAATTCTTTATGCGAGGTGAAATTATCGATCCTGGACCATTTGATTCTATCGTCTTTCCAAATCATCACTCTGGAGTTGTTGGCATTGATGTTGACAATAGCCGCCAGTCATTGTTAAGAGAATCCTTAAAATTGACAAATCTACCAGAGTTAATTCAAAATACATCAGGAAATATTCCAAATGGGATAGTGTCGAAAGACAAGGAGCGGTTATTATCAAAATTAAACAATTATATAAGAAATGATAAGACACTGGTTAGTTAATTATTATTATTATTACTGTTATCATTATTATTAATATTATTATTGTTCCCTTAGGTTCCTAGTGGAACATAGGGCTTCAACTGCACATCTCCGCTTGCTTCTGTCTTCTGCTGTACTTTTCACGTGCGTACTGTTTCAACTCCTCAACTGTTCACATGATCTCCTCCATGTCACCCTTGCACTGACGTCCCACTCGCCGCGTGCTTCCCTTTCGGGTTCCACTCGAGCAATGGCCTGACGCGCGCACGATTTCCCCAACCGGCCTCCTCAACGAGTGTCCAATCCATTTCCACTTTCTCCTGCATATTTGTTGGTTGGCGATTGGTTCTTGTTTCGTTTGTTCCCATAGTTTCTTGTTGGTGGTGATTCTTTCCGGCCCGGCCATCTGATCTTCAGTTGTCGATAGAGGTCTGCAACAGGCTGTTGTTGAAAATATTCTTTGTGACCCCCCCCCCCGCCTAGTTTCTGATCGGTATAGAAGAGCTGACTGACTTGACCTTTTTGTATTGGAAATCCGACCGAATTTTGTTGTTGATTCTGAGTTGTGTGACGAAGATTTCCAGATTGGTTTCAGGTTGATGAATGTGTTCCTCGCTCGCCTCCCGATTCTCGCTCGATTTGACATCCTCGTCCGTTCCGACTGCGTGTAGTTGAGACAATGCTCCCTAGATAAGTGAGTGAATGAAATAGCCTCTTTCAAATTCCCCCGTTGATGGTGATCGGGGCTGGATGTTGCTGTTGTTGTTGGTTGGTTGTTTATTTTTATAACCTCCGTCTTTTCTATGTTCACTTGGAATCCTGTCTTCGCTGACTGCTTCTTCGACCAGTTTGTCGGTCGGTTTACGCTTGTAAGTCTTCGATTTTGTGTGACATCAAAATTACTAATATTATTTTATCGAACCTACTATTGTTATGATTAGTATCATCTTCTTAGGTTCTGAGGGACAGTATAGGGCTTTAACAACATTTCATTCTGTTCTATGCACACCCCTGTTTAACTGGCTCCATGTTTGCCCATAATCTCTCATTTCCTCCCCCTCCCACACGATCTGCTCCATATCATCCTCGAAGTGACGCCCAACTTGTCGTTTCCCACTCGGCTTTCACTCGAGGGCTGGTTTGGGCTGGTGTGTGATGTCAATCAATGATCTCTTTAGTTTGTGTGTGTGTGTGTGCAGTCTATTTCTACTTTCTTTGGCATATTTTTTAGGCAGTAGGTGTTGGGTCCGTTGGTTCCTCTCCAGAGTTATTTGTTGTTTATCCTCTTTGGTCGGTTGGCTGTCTGATTTTGAGAATCGACTCAACGGGACATCTGTTGATGAGAGTCTGTAGTGAAGTGTTTGAAGTGCTTTCATTGATGATGTGCCTACCTTCTCTACAGTATATTTATTATCTTGTTGGTGGAGACGTGTACTTCAGGCATAAAGATAAAATGAAGTTCTTGGTATAACGCATATGTGTATGCCTCTTTGAAATGTTTTTTTTTATACGACTGATGTGAAGTTGGATATACAACAGTTGGAGATGAAGTCGAAGTATTCAAGTGGCGCTTGATTGCCACTTGTAGTGTGTTGTTTTAGTAGAGTTGTTTTTATTTTTACTGTTTGACGTTTCGGCCTTCGAACTTGATTTTACTTTTGCGAATAGGGGGTTGTCAGCCTCACGCCAGCGCAACGCTCTCTCTCTCTCTCTTTACCGAGTGTGTACTATCAGCTAAGCGAGATCTAAAGCAAAGAAATCGACCCTGGAGACCAGGTGCGTGGTTTGCGATCATTCTACCACACTGATTCGCTCCCTCCAAAAGTAAGATGATGTTACAGGACTGCATTGGACTACACTGACTCCTAGTTTAGAAATAGGGAGTGAAGTGGTAGAGCACGTTCACCGCTTCACTTATTTGGGAAGTAGCATCCACCCCAACGGGTTGATCTCAGACGAAATCTCAGTACGGATACAGAGGGCTAGTTTCGCATATGCGAGTTTACGCCGTATCTGGCGCAGACGTGATATCCGGCTGTCTGGTTGTCGACCAAAGGGAGGATGAACTGCTCATCAGTCCGTTGCGTCCTCCTTTATGACTGCTAGTGAGACATGGCCATTCAGAGTGGAAGACATGAAAAGGCCGGCTAGTTGTCTTTGATCATAGGTGCCTGCATTCTTTCTCCCGTGTGAAGTCGTATAATGGGGTGAGCAATATTGAAGTTAGGCATCGGTCGAAGGCTAGGTAGGTGTGAGGGGAAATCAATCGACGAGGTTGTGAAGTTACACCGATTGAGATAGTTAGGATATTGATAGATTACAGCTCAATAGCATCAACATAACAATAAGCTGAATGTCAGAAAAATAAGGAAAGATAATATTACAAATTCATGAATTTATAGTCTCCACAGCAGATCAGCCAGGGCAGTAGTAGTGGCTGGACTTGCTTCTTTTGAACACGATGTAATGACTTTGAGGTCAATTACATAGGTCGGTCTGGCTACTGTAACAACAGAAGACAAGGGCCGGCAACAGATCATTTTATTACGGAAATCAACACGTGTTTATATAGATTTCCTGTACATTATTATAGCTTATTCAAGTATACAAACGCAGTCTTCTGATTGGTTGTTTCGGGCAACATCGAAAAATGGAGCCACCTATCTGCGAATCATATTTGTCCACGTTAAGTCTGCTGTGATTGGTTGTTGAATCAGCCTTGTTCATATTTTCTCACGGCCAATATTAGTGACCTAGACATTGATGTAGATTAATGTCTACCAATTGCCTAGCAGCCTGCTGTCACCACACTACTACTACTACTACTACTACATTGGGACCAACTAAATTATTGAGACATAAAAATTTAGCTAGATCTAGAATAATTGACCCTGCCAAGTTAAATAACCTAGAAAATACAGAGGTCAGCCATTGCATTGCGTTCACTTGCATGTAATCACACAATAGTAGGTTGGGTGGAATAGGGTGAGAGTATTAAAAAGGTAATATAGTTAGTTAGGTGGAGAGACAAAGAGGTTAATGATTGACTGAAGCTTCGTTTGCCGACTCAACACCTCACACGCGCAATCGGAATGATGCAACGCCTGTCTATACTGGATATATGAAAGTGTCAACGGACAACAAAGGGAAGTTGGAGAGACAGATTAGAGAAGAAAAATTATTTAATAATTCCCATTTGTAGCATTAAGTAAGAACACAACGTATTCAGCGAAGAGACTCTTTTCAACAACGAATTTATTATCAAGCTGTACAATCGCACATATATTATGGTTTTTAAGAAATTATATCCGATGAGGGAATTAGGTCAAAGGTATGAATACATGAAATAATAATGATAGGAGTATGAAATGCAATTAAAAATATTTGTGATTATAATCATAGTTTAATGTCAAGTGGCAAAATAATTAATGTCATCTATAGAATAATACATGAGGTGTATAGATTTTGGAAAGAGTACATAATTATAAGATTACTAGACGAATATAAAATGTTACGCGTTGAAGACATGAAAAGGTTGACTGCTTTCGATCATAGATGTCTGCGATCCCTGTCTCACGTTAGGTGGTTTCACAAGATAAGTAATGTTGACGTTAGGCGTAGAGTGTTGGGCAGGCAAAGAGGGAAAATCAATCGACGAGGCTATAAAGTTACATAGACTAAGATGGCTAGGTCACGTGCTGCGCATGCCTAACCACCGCCTCCCCTGACGGGCATTGCTAGCTGATATAGGTGCAGGTTGGAAAAGGGTAAGTGGTGGCCAAACAAAAATATGGCTTCATCAATCCATGAAATCCTTGACAGTTAAACTGAGTCAGGTAGGGAGATGCAGACTTCGGGGTTAGGGCCCTCGGGACTCTAGGAATCAATGGCTGTAGACAATAGGTGACATGGCTCAAGATCGTTGTCAATGGCCAGCGCAGATGTATTCAGTCTGTGTAGTCTTTGATATTCCTTTCTACCATTACCCATTCTGTTTCACTCTTATACTTGTCAGACTGCATTGATTCTCTTCACTCATCTTCTTGTCTACCTCTGTGTGGTATTTGGAAGGTGGCAACTCGAACTGGTGCACTTCGGTGCCAAGTTCTATGTTGAATCCAGACAGACAGACATAACATGGTGTGAAATTTACTTAGATAGAATTTAATATTGTAAAAATAAAAAATGTGAAAGTTAATAATTTTGGGTTTAAAATGTCAAGTGGGACAAGTGGAAACAATTCAGAGTGAGAATAATAATAGTAATAATAATAATAAACGTAGTAACTGAATAAATAAAATAAATAAATGTCTATCCCTTTACGACCAAGGAAGAAGTAGGGATTGTACATACTTTTTAATAAAAAACCATATATATATATATATATACATATATATATATATATATATATATATATATATATATATATATATATACAATTGTACAGCTTGATAATAAATTCGTTGAAAAGAGTCTGTTCGCTGAATATTGCGTTCTTAAAAATATATTTAACAAATTTTGAAACCATAGGACTAAAATTGATATAATATGAGTGGCAATTAATTTATGCTCGACACCTTGTCATCCAGTTGTTAATAATAATAATAATAATAATAATTCCATATTTACGGGGGTAAGCAGAAGAAAGAAACTAAGGAGCACATAACAGAAAAAAGAGAGAGAGAAAAGGAAAGAAAGAAAGAAAAAACGTTGTACTTATAAATGATATGAGTTGGAAAGACGAGATCGAGTTGTTCTACTGACTATTTAATAAGTTATAAGTTTCACGCCTAATGCTTTCTATATCGCAGAGAACACGAGCTAAGTAGGGTATGGTTGAGTTTTTGTACTTGGTAGTTCGAGCATATAGTTTTCTACATAGTCTTCTGGTTTTGACTGATGAGATACAAGGGGAGAGTTGTGAATGAAGAGGGCGGTGGTGTGAGTTAGGTAGGTAGAATGGATTTAGCCCATTTTTCACATGAGTCCATGTGCCTGTCAACCAGAATATTAACAAGCTGGTTAAGTGGAACCCTATGGCTTACCCTGCTGACAACCTTTAACATCCTGCGTAACAAGGTATAGTCTTTCTTCAGTAGCCAACCCTGGAAAAACTAAGGGGGAACAATAGAGAATACTAGGCAGAACACGGGAGTTAATGAATCGTAAGAGTAAGGTTGGGTTATCATCATCACTTTGTGTGATGATATTTAAATTAAACTTACCTAATGTATGGAATTACATTCTACCTATCACAGTGCCCGAATTCTACACTTACAAACTTTGAAATATCTTCAACTTGTTGGCATTACGGCGTGTTTTGTTTTAGCTCTGGTCACTAATATATCCTGTAAATAGTATATGTGTGGTGAGAACTGTCTGGTAGCCGAAATCGGTAGACATTAATTTACGTCAATGTCTACGTCCCATATCTCGGTCATGAGAAAAAAACAAGAACAAAGACTAACTCAACAACCAATCACAACAGACTTAGCGTGGGCGGATACGATTGGCAGAAATATGGTCTGGCCTTCAAAGAAATGGCAACCAGAAATGACAGAATGACCTTCAACAGGAAAACAACCAATCGGAAGACGTTACCTCTCTGCTAACAATAACGCTTATAATAATAATGTGCATGAAAATCTATATATCTTAGTTGATTTCCTCAATAAGCGATCTGCTGCCTGGTCATTGTCTGCTGTCGTTACGTATGTATTTAAAAATGTTCAAATAGCATGTCATTTGTTTTTGTGTTTTCGTATCCCTTGGATCTCAATATTCTTGTTGTTTTGTGTTTTTCTCCCTCCTTTCTCATTTATTTCACTTTTGTTTTGTTTTACTCACACAGGTATCTCTGACAGGTTATGCTGCATTCGCTGTACTTGGCTTCTGTCTATTTTGACAGTTTCAAACACCAGAAGAAATCAATTATTTGCCTTATTCAGATAAATTATTTGAATAAAAAAATCTTGTTTTTCTTGGGAAAATGTTTTGTATATTTATTAATTCAATCAATAAACTTTTTGTTCTCAAAGCTGATTTATTCCTCACATAAAAATTACCCTGGAAATAAAAAGAAATGAGATGGTAGTTTCAATTGAATTCGAGTGTTCGGCGGTTTTACACAGTTCGACCATATTTTCATTTGGTGAACGTATATATTGTAATGTCTCTGATCGCAGTACTCACTAATTAACGAGTGTTCAAATCTCATAAGCGATATGAGTTCCTTCAAGATTGCAGATACGCCTTGCTTGACTGACTGTTGAGTACCAACTAGCACCAAACCTTGGTGGTATCCAAGCCTTCCTGTCGATCACCTCCAACCATCTAACATCAACAATTCACAGTGGACCATGATGGCGAGCCACCTAGTGTGGCATGGTGGCCACATTGCAAACCTGACTGAGAGAATTCAGTTTGCACCAAAGTAAGGACTAGACATATTACACTATTATTCACTGACGTCTAGTGTCTAACGAAAATTAATTATATGCTGTAATTTACAAAAATTATACAAGTATTACTTGTATTTCATGTATTTATTCCCCTTGATGAATTTGAATAAAGCAAGAACAACAGTGGAGGTTTGAGCAGAATAAGAAGATGGTACCATCATTTATTTCGTTGGCTTCTCGTCAGCTGCTTACAGCCTAAATAAATTATACGGTTAAGTACAGAAACGTTTTAACATACTTGCAAATTTTACATGTTGTCAGTTGACAGAAAGTTCCAAAATAAGTGAATAGTGCTCAGAAAATTGCGCTTACATAGTTTTTGCACAGCCAGTTCAAGTTAAAACAAAATAAATGCATGCATACAGCTGCAAAGGAGTTACATAATAAAGACGAAATATGCGTTACATACAGAGTGACTAATAAACTAGGTAACAATATACTGGGTTCAACTCAAATCATAGAAACAAGAGACAAGAAAACCTACAGATTATAAAAGGGGGTGAGGTTAGAGACAAAGATTACGTAATCAGATAAGAGAATAAAGACATTCAGTTACCAGGACAAGGAAAGACCAATAACTGCTTCTTTCTGAACACATAAATCTGGTTTCAAGCGTTTGATGGAAATTGCTTCAGCAAACTTGAGGAGAATGGAACTCCTTTGTCTATTGATAATTTTAAAGGATTTCTACCTCATGACCTGTGTCGAGGAGATGTCTAGTAATAGTGCTACTATAAGATTCTGTTCCGTTGAGATGTAGGCTTTTTGACACATGTTCAGAAAATCGGAGGTGTGCCCTTCTTTCTGTTCTCCCAATGTAACTGCTCCCGCAGATATATGTAGATTTGTATTGCACCTTCGAATACACCCAAAAATACATGGCAGTTTAAAGAGGTACGCATTTGTCGGGCATGGAGTCTATTCGCGCTACGCTTTGTGCTGGTAACACACACAAAACACATATCCTCAGACTCCGTAATTGAACCATATTTCAGTCAAATTTGTAAAATCTTTCGCGGGAATAATCCCAGTATTTCATTCTACTTAAATTCATCGCTCTTCAGGGCAAATTTTCAAGCGAATAAGTCATTTTGATTCGTGGTTGAAGTCAAACTAATAACAGCCATCCCGGTGCATAATCATCAACAACTAATTAGACGTAAATGTGCTTCAATCACAACATTAAATTGTGTCTTTTGTTCTGGATGTGCTTCTTGAGTCCCAAGAAGACTTAATGTTTGATTAGTATGCGAAATTACTAAAACATGTATATCCAGGGGAAGCCTGACAGGAAAACTGACCTTTTTTCTACTAGGATTTGGATTTTTAGGTAGAAAAAGGGAGAGAATTAGGGAAAAAATGGACGGATTTCAGGACCTCGCCACTTATAATTACCTTTTTAATAGCGTTGACGCTTTAATTCCTCCGTAATTTTCATTAGCTGCTCAAAGACATTATTGAGGTTGATTGGGGATGGCTGTTATAGTTTAACATTGTTGATTCGTGTTTTGTAAGACTGGTGTGGTGTGAGACGTAAACAAACCCGACAATACCTTAAAAGTTGACCTAATAATCATGGCTTAGTTGTATTTAAATGATTGCTTAAATGGGAGTATTTATGAATCTGATTTTGATTTTCATGCTTAATTATCATAGAATACATGTTCCCCTGGATTTTGATCCCTTTAAAAGTGAGTTTTCCGAGACCTTGTTCATAAATCATGGCTGGTAGTTCCCGTTGAGTTGGTTGTAAGAACAGTGATCAGATTTGACTGAACTTATTTGCTCCTAAGTATTATTGACCATCGCCTTCCTCGACGAGCAGTGTTAGCGGATATAGGGTCAGGCTGGAAAAAAGCTAGCGGTGGTCAAACAAAAACTTGGCTTCACCAGTCAATCAAATCCACAACAGTTGGTCTAAGCCACGTAGGAAGGTGTAGACTTCCAGGCTGGGGTCCTCGGGACGGTAAAAATCTATGGTTGGAAACAATTGGTGATATGGCACAAAGTCCTTCTCAATGGCTGGCGCAGATGCATCCACTCCTTGTGACTTATGATCTCCAATGAAATTGTTTTGTTTTTCTTTATTACTCCTTTGTCTCACCCCTCTGCTCACTGTTTCTATTATGCTTTTCTTGTACTTTCTTCTCTTGCTTCGCGTGCTACACGGAGTGTGGCGACTTGAACTGGCGCACATTTGTGCAAGGTTCTATGCCGAAAACAGACAGACAGAAGTATTACTGATATTGTTTCAAATCCCCGCTTTTGCTGTAAGTTTTCATCGTTTGAATATTGAAAGCCTACTTGGAAAGGAGAAAACTTACATTTTAATAGCTTTTCCCCAAATAGCTTTAAATGCGGACTAGTCAAGACTGTGTACTAAAGAGCGAGGAGAATATGCTCTATAGAGAAATTAGAGGAAGAATTTGAGTTTCTTGAAAAGATGTTGAAGACCAATGGGTACCCTCAAATGTTCATCAACAAGTATGGAAGATCTGAAGTCGAAAATGTAAAATAAATCACAGTGGGTAGGAAGCCAATCTGCATTCATCTTGATTATAAAGGTGAAAACATTGCAAAAGGGATCAACAGAAGGCTTAGTACATCACTAGCCAGAGCCTATCCTGCAGCTAGCTAAGTTCGTCTATCGAACAACTTGCTCTTCTTTGGTGCAATCAAAAATCGATTGATATCCTTCTCATGTTAACTCCAACTGTATATACAAATTTACATGTATCTGCGGGAACAGTTACATTGGAAGAACAGAAAGAAGGACATATCTACGATTTTCTGAACATGTGCCAAAAAGCTTATGTCTAAAGGTAACAAATGCTTTAAGCAGTGCCATCGCCAGAAATCTCCTTGACGCAGGTCATTAGGTGGATGTCGAAAAGTCGTTCAAAATTATCAATAGGCAAAAGAGCTCAATTTTGCTGAAGCCATTTCCATCAAACGCCTGAAACCTGATTTATGCGCCCAGAAAGAGGCGGTTATTAGTCTTTCTTTGCATTGCCTGGTAACTGGATATTTTTATCTCTCTCTTGCATCTGAATGAGTAATGCTGAAAAGTTTCCATTGTGTATGATTATTGTTCGGAATAGTGGTTAATATTGCATATTTATATATGTATATATTTTTAGTGTATGAGTATATTGATCGATTGATTTTTGTTTAAACTTAACTCTGTGCAAGTATGTTAAAATTGCTTTTGTAGACACATTTAATAATGTCTTTACCCTGTAAGCAGCTGGTGGGAGGGCAATGAGATAAAAGATGGTACCATTTTATTCTGCTAAAACTATAGTTCTCGCTTTGTTCAAATTCACTAAGGGGAATAAATGTATGAAATATTACAGTAAGGTTGAACATAATCACGTTTAGTTTAGTAAGGAGTTGGTTGTTTCATTTTAAACTATAGTATGCGGAAATGCAATCTAGTTGGTGTTCCTTCTTAATATATTTTAGTAAACCAGCCTCAAATTTTCTAGACAGTTTCGGTAGATGTTCTTGAACAACAATAATGTCTACCACAGTTATTTATTTCGTTTAGTTCTGTGGGGGAAAATTCGTTCAGTTAACTTTCATTTAATCAAATGAAAAGTCGATTGATTTGATAGTGGGATGTGTGTATCACATGTGCTCGAGTAGGAATGGGAATTCGTTACTGTTCCCTTATGTTCGAAGAGGAATATAGTAAGTACGTCAACAAAAAAACATCTCCATCTCACTGTGTTCTTCTCTGGAGGAGTGCTATTTGCTGGCACAATGATTACCCATAAACTCCTCCGACACTATGCATGAGCCTTCTTCTCCTCCTCACACGATATCCATGTCTTCCTCGAAGTGACGTCCTACTCGACGGCCTGGTTGGGGACTTATCATTTGATGGTCTCTACAATGTGCGTCGAACCCATCTCTATTTCTTCCCGAATGTTTTATACGCCATAGATCCCTGATTTTGCCGTTGCTTGTGTTTGATCCCTTCTCCAGTAGCCTATGGAAAAGGCTTTCGATGACTGACAACATACAAAGTTTCTGAACCATATATACAATCGTTGACTGACTTGATATATGAATGTGCGTCGGTGGCACAGTGGTTAGAACTCTCGCCGACCATGCACATGGTCCGAAGTTCGATCCCCTGCCGACGCACACCTGATATCTATGGTCGACCTGCAAAATTTGGGCTACCGATATCCATGCTGAAAATTCAATACTAGTACCAAAAAGAATACAGTGTGGAATCAAGCTGTAATCAAAAATAAAATGCTGAAAATCCAAATCTTGTTTGCCAACCTTGAATGTGGTAGATTTACACACTGACTTTAGAGTGATGGATGTCTGTCTTGCTGTTTCGATTCTTGTTGACTTGGACATCTTCATGTGTGCCACTTCGAGTGAAAAAAATACTGCCAAGAAAAGTGAAAGAGATGGATTAACAGTG